TATTGGAAAACTACCAGTAACAAGATAGATTGCCGATGATAAATGCATTGAGCAAGAAGTCAATATACCAAGAAGCAAAACAAATTTCTCACGTAAACTAGCCTGCGTGCAGACTCCGCGCCGTGCAGACTCCGCGCCGTGCAAACGTAAATTAGCCTGAAATTGTCAGTGGTAGCTCGCTACGGATTGCATAAACGTTGTACAAAATCATAAAGGGGTAAGCGTGCAGACTTTAAAAAAGTAAGCAGAAAGGAATCAAATGATGGCAAAAGTATAGCACGCAAAAACCTTTGATTGATGCTACTTGCCTTTAGGTTAGGGTTTGATGGAAAATGATCAAAAGCAGTTTATGGATTTCATATTCATTTTCATTTATAAAATATTAATACAGGATAAATCGTTTCAGTATATGCATATGAAACTGTACAGTAAACTGCTTCCCAAACGAGTCCTGTCGATACGACAAAACGATCTACTATGCTTGGATGTTCTCAGCAGAAATTTATTAGCCTCGGATAAATAAGCTTGATTTTCAAACGCTTCTACCAAGGCTGCCTTGGAACTTTGTTATTTCCCGGAGCAGACCACGAAACAACGCAAAAAGATTTAGGACAAATAAACTTATCGGATTTGAGAAGTAATGAGCCCAACATACGACTAATAAACGTTTAGCTCTGTATATTTATTCAAAACAGTCGCTTTTCGTAATGTAGGATATTGAAAACTAAACATTTTTATTAACGACAAATGGGATTATGGTCCGCATTATTAACTTTAGCTCCTCTTTTTTCCAATAGGCCTTTCTCTACTGGATCGATATTTGACAATAAGGAGCGAGAAAACGGTCTGCAGCAACATTCTACCCTGGTGGCGTGGAGGTTTACATGTCAAACCATGAGAGGATTGGGAAGAATAGGGTCATTGCTTTTATTTCTAAGAAGTTGCGTAAATATCAAACCTGGTCGAATGTAATGAAAATTGAATCATTTCATCATATGCTATAACAGAAAATAGGATCTGGTTTTTAAGACTTCGAGAGAGATTGTTAATGTTCGTTCGAATGGACCTGAAAGAATAGCTGACCGAGGCCCGTGTGCAAGTGTTCCACATGCTAACCCATGAAGTAAGTTTGCAGCAACGTCCTTAAGAAACCCTGAAATGCACATCAGAGTCTGCTGTCGATCCTACTAATTGGTTCAACAGGGAATATTTCTTGGGCAACAACCTAAACTTATGTCACATGTCCCTTGGCTCAACTTGTCCCTTAACAAGTATGCACGCAGGCTAGTTATATATGGAAATCAAGAAATCTTTGCTCATCACGAAGCCCTGTCTTCAATGCCTTTCTAAAGACTTTAGCTGGGGGTGAAGCCTTTGTTCTAATAACGATGAAAACAATGATCTATTGCTTTGAACATTTAAAGAAAACTGGGGCTGGAAGGGCAGGACCTTCACACTTTCTGTATGTGGGTCTTGTATAGCGCTGGCCATTGTGTAACAGAGGTTCACCACAGATGACATAGACTCCATTGAAAATTTATCTGAACAAGAAACTCAATATCACAGCCAAACAACCTTAAGCTCTAAGTGTAGAAATAACGTTCAGGAACAATCTTGTGGTAGAGAGCCAGTCACCTTCCTAAAGAATGAAGAAAGCCTCAACCTTAATATGAAAACTAAGGCATCCATTAACGAAGCATGTACGTACGCCGGAGCAAAGGGTAGAGTCAGGTTTGAATTGTTTAAATGGGAATGGGGTAAGATACTGGTGAATCTCGTTTGTTTGGGGTAGGATACTGGATACTATAAGCAATTAGGCACTGAATAGAGGTTTTGTAGTGGAAATTATCCACACAGAAGAAGAGACAAGCAAAATGCCAGAGCCAAGCAAGACCAGGGGCTCTTGGGTGATCTCACAAAAGTCACTGCTGCATTTGCATCAAGCATTGCACGGCAGTTCACCGTCAATTGTATGCGACTTACACTAACATATTGACATACTGACACCCATCTAGGGCATGTACAGATCAGGTAAACAGCGGTTTAAATGGCCAAGCTATAAAAACCTATCGCGTTTTCAAAAAGGAATTTTTCCGGGTCGCCAGGTTCATGACTCTTCTGAAAAAAAATAATGACTATCTGATGGGACACCGGCTCTTAAAATCGAGGCTGCCTTCAACTTAAATCTCACAAAGCGCAAACGAGACACCAAAGCAAAACAAGGCTTCAAGCTGGTACCTTAAACAGAAAGTAGCAAATTATAAAATTCTTCACGGCAAACAGGAAGAGCTCTTATCTCTCTCTGTTATCGTCAAGGGTACCTTATCATGTAATTTGCCATAGTTGAATTTCAAAAACCCGTAGACCTGATAAAATTTCTCCAATCGAGGATCATGAGATGCGAAATCAAATCGAAATTCTTTGGAAAGTGAAAAATTAAGCCGCTCTCAAGGGCTGAAATGTTTCCGATAACAGAAATCCAAGTGGTCAGTTTTCTTGGGTCATCCAGAGTGTTATCGACATGGTCTGAAGTGTTTCTTGCATGAAAATCCCCAGTAATAGAGGGTAAGTAGCAAACGGGCTCCCACAGAACGACTTAGGAAAATGCCGTGGGCTCCAGTGCTAACAACAAACTTTTTAACAAGCAAAATCCATCAGCAAAACCAATAAAACTAAACGCATTACTGCCTTATAGTAAATCGTGAAGAGATTTTAGCTCTCGTGAAGTCATTGATTGTCGGCTTTGCTTCCGCACTTCAGTCATGAGCCCTGCTTTCCTTAAAATAAGATACGGCAAATCCCCGCAAAGAGCAACCTAAGAATTAAGACACCAACTGACTGTCATTCCTCAATAACACATCGTGCTCAAAAATCTACTTTTGCTTGAGTAATCATGTTCTTATCTAAAAGGAAATATTTGAACAAAATTAAGAAAGATAAAGTAAGATTTTATCTGGAATAAAATTCCCTTGGAAAATATGTGAAATTTTCCAATTCTAACTAACTAACGAAATAAAGATTTATTTCAATATTTCAGGACCCAAATAAACCTCTCAAAAATATATATAGTTGAAATGTTGAAATAATTTTGTGCGTGAGCTTAAAAAATTCTCCTTATGATTCCAAAGAAGTTAAAACAAAAACTCTTCACAATGAAATCTCTTTTTATGTACCTTGGGAAAAGGAACACAAACAAACTGACTTATGAACCCAGTTTTTTAATATACTAATTATTTAAACCTGCGAGCGAGGCTTTTTCGCTTATCTTACTGGTAACTGTGATTGTCCATTGGTTTAAAGATAACAAAATATTTGACAAATACAATATATATTTTTGCATCATAAAGTACATTGAAGTATAGATGAAAAAGAATGTAAACGGTTCACTTCTTAGAAGATAGAGAAAATAGATAGGGAAGATGTTTCGTAAAAGAAAATTACGAGACCATTTTGTGGCGATTCTCGGGTATTCACAGCTGGCAGATGATATCTAGTTATGTGCCTGAGGCAAGAAATTCATGACAAAATAAAGGTACCTGTGATTTTCAAGGTTAATGGAGATCTTTAAAATACATTGAGGGACACAACAACACTATTGGGATACAAAAGCATTTTCGAGAGAGGAAGTTGCTTGATAACTGAGGCAATTCTAAAGAATCTTTAATGGCTTTGAGAACAAAAAAACCAAACTGGCATCAGAAAGGAAAATTATGACAGTTTGACAAGATAAATGATTTCTAAAAAAAGGTATGCTGAAAGAAAGTGTTTAAAAAGATGACTTAAGCAATATTATAAAATATTTAATTGACAAACTGGGCTTTCAAAAGAGTGAAAATGTCCAGGAAATTGAAGCCAAGAGAAGGCCCACACCTAATTGTGACACTTAGTCTTTCCCAATTTGAAGGTATATTAATGCGCACAAAGCAGAGGATATTGGAATCAAAAACTGTGGACACGGGGACGAAGATAAAATCCTTTATGATTACAAAACTATAATTCACGAGCAGACTTGGGCTGACATTGAAAAAGTTAAAAGCTGCAAAAAGCAACAGGCTATGCCCAATAAAACAAAACTGGACAGTTTGGGAATCGCCAGAAAATATAAATCAAGGTTAACAATGAAAAAATAGGAAATTTTACAAACAAAGCTTCAAAGCAAACAACTAAATCTTTAACAACCCAAGTACAATGGAAACTGGAGAAAATAATCGACAGCGATTTGAGGAGGCGAAAGAAGAAATGAGAGGAACAAAGAGAAGATCAATTTGACTGGTAGAAACGAATCCGGGATGAAAAATATGAAGGTGAAAAAGAAAACTGAATAGGTCAAAGGAAGAAAGAAAGAAAGATGGAAAATAAGTGGGGAGCGGAGAGGTAATAAAGCTGTTGAACATAGCAGAATTGGGTTATTAAACCATTTATCACAAGTTATTATTATCTTGAATTTTGTACCGTCATGAGGTTTAAATAGCAAACCTAGAATGGGCATGCGGGTCGTCGAATGGCGTAACGAATTAGAAAAAACCAGCCACGAGAAAACCACAACAACTATTCGACTATTCACGGAAAATTCAAAGATCACTGGCGCTTATAAGGAGAATAGTTCAAAGCAGGCCTGTAGAACATAGGTACACCACACCGTTACTTGACTTAATACCATGACAGCAGCATTTAAAAGAACGGTTTAAACGATAAATGCAAAAAACATCTTCATTTTCTAATGATTTAATGCAAAATTCTGGTTACGGTATGTCGTTCCCAGGCAAAAAAGTACGTCATGGAGCCTTGGAACTAAGAAGACGCGTGCAGTGTTTGGCAGGATAGCAAAGTGTTGAACAACATCGAGTAGTGTGTTCTCAATGGCAATATTGTCCACGTTGATAAACAATATGTTGGGACTAACCAATAATTATGGAATGCAACACTGTTTGAGTTCAGTGATGAATGTTCTTGGGAAATTCTCTGTTCTTTCATAGAATAAAAATTGACAACAAAAAACGTTTGCTCTGCACGCGTAGGATGCTTGTGATATTCTGCCTATTGACAAATTACAGGTAATAGGACATTTTCAAGAGATGAAAAGCAAAGTTTCTGTTGATAAAACTTTATAGCGGATATAAATATACACGCATAGATAACAACATACTGTAATGGAGTTAAGAATGATGAAGTCATCAAAATCTATTTTTAGGATTCTTGAAAATCTCTGGAAAAAGTAAGGATGACCTTAGTTTAAAGTCTGCTTCAAATCGGCTGAGATATGGCCGTTGAAAGACCAACAGATCATTATAAGATTGCCATTATTTTGGCTTGGCTCGTAGACTTTAAGACGAAGCCTGAATCACAGTGATTTGATAAAGAAAGTGCATCATCTGGCTACCTATCAGGAAACTGGGCTAGATTCGACAGCTTTGCTACTAATTTAGTGGACCATTTTTCAATGTTTTCTCGGATTAAACGAACAGAATCGAAATGTTCTAAGAAATGTTTTTATGACGTCATCAATACTTAACTGTATTGCTTTAAATATATGTTCGCTTGAGTGCATAAAATAAACTTTGATTGAGATTTGGAGGATAGAAAGTACAATGCTTTTAAGAAGTAGAAATACAAGTGCAAATGACAAAATTTCCTGTCCCTTTTATTTTACGTAAATTGAGATCAAGCGAAAGCTGAGAGTTGAACACACAAAATTTTACTACTTTTCCAACAGAAGGAACAGTTTGTCTTTACTATGGCTTGAAATCAGCTTTGAACACGATCTTACAAACTGCTACTTATGAATAACCCTAATTTCATTAAAAAACAATTAAGAAAAGACAGCAAGCAATTTGAGCAATATCATACGCAGAGGAGAATCGCAGGCCACACTGTGGGTTACCGAGACCATTTTAAATGGCCTCACGAGGAAGACAGCGAAACCAAGTTTAAACAATCTACGTAGCAACAACATAATAATGTTAGATGTATAAAATGTAAAGCATTACCTGTTAGGATATTGTTATCTAAAATTTGCAAAATACTTCAAGTTATACCCGGAATGGTCGGCAACTAACTCGGAACAACCAGTCTTCGAGGAGATTTCTTTGGCTTTATAACACCCTTTTTTCTATCTTCTTTCTGCTTGTGTAGAAGATCAGAATTCTGAAAAAGAATAACAACGCAAAATGATTCGCAAACACTGACACTTCTGCGTAAATTAGTAAACAATACAAGAAAATAAGAGAAATACATCCAAGAAACATATCAGCTAAAAATATCTAATTTTGTGCAGATCAAAATGATATTTTTACTGTATATAATAAATTACTGTTAATTATAGCAAGCGTAATAGAAAAATTGATACTTCAACCGCATTTGTTAATTTCTAACTTAAAGTGGGATGCTTGATAACTTGTTACAACAAATTGGATACAATTGCAAACTGAATACAATTAATCAAAACTCGTATAAGTTAAGGTAAAAAATACCAATTTTGGGATTCTTATTAAATATTCTTTCCTCCACCAAATCTTCGTTATCGGTGAACAAAAGAGTATATTTGCTGTTTCGGCCTGTAAGGCTACCCTTCAATTTGATGCAACAACAAAAATTGGGCACACTCGGGTTTTCACTATGATTAACGTTTTGATCAGTAAATCAGAATACACTGAACAATTTCCAAAAATATTGGGAACGAACTAAAGGGAGAAAGAAAAACAATAAAAGCGAGGAAAATGGATTCACAGCTCGCTTTTTTCACAGCTGGCTGTCTAAACACGGTTTGGGCCTAGATGTAGATTCTAACCGCAGTTACTTTTGGGGTTCCAAAAAGACTCCAAAAGCAACATTTCACCAGACAGTGCTTGAAAAGACCAGACAAGTCCTATTGAAACCCAAGACCTGTCTGAATCTTCAAAGGCCGAAAATAATTACCAAAAAGCCTTCATAATGCCTAGCCACAGAAAACCTAAGACATGGATAGGCCTTTAGGAAATCTGCTATATTCCTAATATTCTTGGATATTAAATTCAAAGTTTTAGAAAATATCAGCCAAGGTTTCTAAGTTAACAGTTGCCTATTCACGTCTGGAATCGTCAACAACCTCAGCATTTTGGAAACAAAAGCTTCTATGGTTAATTTTGCTTGGAGTTATCTCCTCCTGCCCAGTCATTAGACAATGGCTAGTCATTAAGAAAACTTGGAGGAGGCAGAAAAACACTTTATCGGGAAATATATCTTGTTGACAAGGAAACCCAACATTGCAAGCATACATAAATAGATATAATAAAGAATGGATAAAGAACACAATACAAGATTGAGAGAAGTTAGAATTTTGATTAAGATCCTTAAAAGACCTCAAAAAAGGGTTCGAGTTTGTTAGCAAATAAAGAAAATCTTTGAATGAATTAGATTAAATTTGATTAGAATGGCCAGATATGTAGATACGAACAGGTTTATAACAGTTAATAAGTGTATCTAAGTCAAGGGTTCAATTCGTTTGCATCCTGTGAATTCAGTCTGAAATGTGATGACTTTTATATTAGTATGATATATGACGTATTAGTATGATACCAGTACTAGATGTATTAGATGATGCCTCTTTAAGCGTGGACAGTATGCTAGAGTATTGCCTGAAAGCCAATAGAGTGCTGTTTGTCTATGAATGTGACAAACAAGGCAACAGAATAACTAACACGGACCTGGCAGCTACCCAAACTTGAGATCTGTTGAGGTTATCCGAGAATCAAGGCCAAGTATTATAAGTCTCAGAATATCGAGTATCTAATACCGATGACAGAATTGTCACCGTGACTCATGAACTACTTCTAAATGCACAATGCATTATTTGAAATTTTTTATCAGTCTCTAAATTTTCCCAAAGACCGGCAGAAATGAAATAAAATTCACTTTGAAAAGTAAGGTAAAGCTTTCTCTAGAAAGGTGTCAACAACCAAATCACTTTAATCTGTTAAAGTATCACTATTTAGAAAGTGAAGCTGGAAAGTGCAGCTGCATTAGTTTAAAATGCTGGGCAGAAGATTAGGTTTCCTTGAATTAATGGAACTAAGCTAGTGGGAAACACTGTACTAAGCATAGGAAAGACTGCCAATTTTAAAATTTCAAAGCAAATGATAAAGCATAAATTTTCAAAGAGCTCTTCAATCGTTGTTTACGGATTCATTATTTGTGGTCAAAAATATTTATTTCACAGGAAACAAAGCTCTAGAGAATATATTCCGATCTTTTTGTCTCATGTGACTGATCCAAAATTATTCATGTTTATCAAAAACAAATGTCATCCTTGATGTTTATCCGAAACAGGGCTCGAAACAAAATTGATTTTTAATCTCTTTATTCACAAACCACCATTATTGATAGTAATATAATGGCTTAATCATTTGTAAGGGAATTAAAAAGTAGCCACAAGTGTTTGATGTTACCTCACGTAATCGGGTGGGGGCAGTGCTACATTATGCAGCTGCAAAAACGAGTGAAATGCAACGATTCTTAATTCGATGAGTAGAAGCGAAATAGCATCTTGGGAACATGCATTTATCAATTCAACAGATTTCACATCTTGTTCGAACAAAGAGCCTTAAACTCAAAGCCAACCGATAAATATCACTCACTAAGGATAAAACTAGGATAAAAAATTCTAAATAATGACACATCTCTGAACTTAAAACGAAACTTGAAGAATGTGTGATAAAACTGACTGGCAAATTTAATCTTTCGTTGAAAAACTGATATTTAGAGAGTTAAAGCTGCGAAACCAATATAACATTTCAAGGCTCGTGAAACAGAGAAAAAGAGGGCGGGCTTTTTCAACTCAGTAAGTGTGTAACAATGTGAGGTCTCGTATCAGCTTTCCAGCCAGTCAATGGGGCTTTGTTCCAGGTGGTAATATCTGCTCAAACACGAAACATTGGGAAAAATTCGGATCCTTACCTGAATACTTTCCCACTCCATTCTCTCAATTACTTCGCGTTCACGTCTTTTATCCTGTTAAATACGTATAAAGAAGTGAACATTATGATTTTTGTAAATCCAATATTTTGACACAAATGCAAACCTGGCTTGCTGATATTTTGACACCTCCAAACCAGTAAATTGCAAAAACGATTACGGAATAAGTTGGCCAAAATTCTAGGATACAACAAGCAGCAGTGCAATCAATAGAGATTGCTACAATCGGGAGCAATATGAATGGTATGCAAAATATCGAAGGATTTGTCATCAGGAATAGAAAAAGTTCATCTTCATGAAGATACACAAAAAGAGATCGTTTGAAGAAATTACCACAACTTAGTCAAACTCAGAGCAACAAATAATTGGAAAAGGTATGCACGAGTGGTGTATTTTTCTTTAAACGACAGAGTAGGGAGCGTGGAAATAAAAGAATGTACATATCTTTGCAAGAAATTTATGCAACACGTCTCTAAAAACTCTTCCTTCTCCTGAACTGTCCAACCCTATAAACAGCCGACACCAAAAGCAGTCGAAACCGACGCCTATGTCGCTTGAAGGGTTTTATAAACATGGTGATGAGTTTGAATTGGCAAAATTCACTTGTCAAACAACGATCAGTATTTGATTGGCTATAATTGGACGTCCTGTATACCCTAGCGGGCAACTGCTGCCTGGACTGGGGGCGCCCCATCTAACAACACCCCCACAACACACAACACACCAAGTGCAGCTCACATTACCCCAAACCGACACCATCACGCCCCACAGCACCCCGTTTCCATACCCAATAGCCCCCCATTTTCATAATCAAAAGCACCACACCCCACTCCCCACAGCATCACACCCCCATGCCCCATAGCACCACATCCCCATACCCAACACCACCATACCCCTCCTAACCCACACTACCACACCCTCACACAACCACACCGTACATTCCTCCTCACCTTCCCACCTTATGACAGCATCCATAAAGACCTCCAAAACCATAGACAGCCAGTGGAGATCGACCTCTGCTTGTGCATCAATGTATGCGTATAGATAGCTCAAAGTTCAAATTGCAAAAAAGAATACCAACCACGTAGTGAACAATACAGCTTGCAGGAACCCAGACCAGGAGGGAGAAAACCATAATGGTGCCAACGATATTCTCTTGCATGAATCGAGCTGTTTGCGGTAAAAGAATTATACGTCAACGCGCAGACAATGAGTTAAAGAATTACTAATCTATAAGATCACAATTTTGATTTTAATGACTGATAATAAACTTTTAACAAAACGGCAAATTGATAAAAGTTGTTTTTATAGAGGTAAACAGAATTTGAATTTATGAAAATCGTTCTTAGTCATTCCTGTCGAAGTTAATTGGCAATATTCCTAGCCTGAAATGCAAAAGTAAAGATTTATCCAGTAAGTAAATTATGGCGTGATTATTTTCATAGTCGTGAATACAAAGTTTTAAAGCATACCAAATTTGCTTGCTGTGAAATCTTCAAGCAAGTTGCTAAAGTAGTCCAAAACGTTCTTTTGTGTTTTCTTGCAAGATCCCTTTCGAAATAAGATGGAAAGAATACAGAGAAAGCTAGTACCAAAGAATACATAACAATATGTATAGTTAGCATCAGTAAACAGAACCAACAAATAAGGCGAGAAATTTTTCACGTTTTAATTATGTACAAAATATTTATCACTATATTTTTTAATTGTTTAAGCTTTAAAACGTCTGTAAATCTTTAAAATTCAAACGCGGGGAACTGCAAAATTATGGCTTCAAGGAAGATTAAACCTACATCGGTCATTTGTCGAGTTTATGGAGAAGGACAGTCATCAATTGTCATTTGTGAGTTACTAATATAATTTTCTTACTTTCATAGAGTTTCACAATTTCAGGCATTTGTACCTCAATAAAGCAACAATAATCGGGCAAGACCCATACTACGCCCCCTAAGCTTCTAGCATCTGCAACGCCGATGCTTTGTATCAAACAATCGGTAAAAACGTACTTTTAAGCAGGATCCCGTATACGATCCGGTGTCACATGGACCACCTTCATTATGATTCAGTGTTGTACCGTTGACGACAATCGGCTCACACGAATCTGTGCTGTTCGACTTTGAACAACAAATCTTGCAGATATCGTCAGCTAAGAAAAACGATGTTTTACAGAACATTAGAGATGAAATCCTGAGCAATATTTTCATCAGCTTTTGAAAGCATCTTTAAACTAAATCTACAAAAAAATTAAATTGCAAAAAAATTTCTCAGCGAGAATAATATTATCAAAGTGATCTCAAAAAGGCTTTGTTTTGGATATGTGGCAAATACAACCTTTAAAATGTGTGATGCTATCTTTACAGGACTTTAAATGCAGAATTAGCAGCAGGTTTCTCCTTGTCAAGGCAGGCTTAGTTCTCACACTCGATTATTGCTTTTGCAAGGTTAATTGGTTAATTGTTGTAAATACTTGTAGAATACTGAACACGTAGTTATTAAGATTACTTCAAGAGGCCATGGAATTTCACTTACCCTTGGAACACAGACATGATACCAAGCCCCTTTGCTCGCAAAATGGGAGGCACACACCATTGACACATTTTCCTCTATGAGAGAGCAAAAAGAAAACGGATTCAAGGAGAATACAGAAAAACTGTGAAATTTACAAGAATACTGCAAGGATGCTCGTAGATTCGCAGAAACATATGCAAATGAAAACTGAGGCTGGGGAAATGCTTATGAAACCATAAACGAGATGGATTGCACATCACATGCTTAGAAGAGTCCCTATATGTGTAAGTAACAAAAAGACTACAAGCTAGAGCAGATGCATTAAAAAGGAACTATTTCAGTACATCAAACTTCAGTATTAAATTTTCTATAGAAAAAGTGAACTTACTTTGAATAGGCGCATGGTACACCAGATAGCTTTGGAGCTTCCGGGCAATTGGTGCTGACGCCACTAGTACGCATTAAGGAAACTTCCGAGAAACGATGTCTACGTTCCAGGAAAAGGATTTAAAAAAGTTAGAATACAGACTAAGTCGGACATAAGAGTAAAATAGCGATTAACACTGAGATGCTAAACTATTCCGAAAATCTGCTGTGAGTTTCAAAATCAATAAAGCCGTCAAAGACAAGGCAATCTGTAAATTGATGGCTGGATTGCAAGGAAGTGAGGTTTTTAAGTGATGTCAACGCCGAAGAATAAAAAAAATATGTCAAATGATCTATGATTTAATTTTCCCACGAAAATCTCATAGAAGTGCCTTTACATAAATGACGTAGCGAAGATAGGTAAGAATGGTTTTTATAATAATAGCTCTGAGATAAAATTAAAAACTGAAAGAAATAAGCAGAATATGTAAACATAAAAAAACTCAAACACATAAGACAGGGAAAGGGTTTATCGAACGTCTGCACTTGTTTTGAATCATGCTGCGCACAAGAATACTTATTTGATATGATACGCAGCCAAAAAACAGGCGGTCGCATGATCAATGTAAACATAGGAAACAGAAGTGCTACACCCAAGCCCCATCCTAGTTTTCGTCGATTTTCCATAGAATGTATACCCTATTTAGGGGTATAATTTGCAAGGAAGATGGATACTTTTTAGGACTCTGTTGATACAATTGTGTTAGCTTCGTTGATGGTGTAGCAAAATTTCAAAGACAATTGTTTTATAGTCTATATTGGAATTATTCTTGATATCATAAAGAACCAAAATTTTGTTAAATTTTCGCTTCCACAAGATAACACATGCAAGATAACGCACAAAGATAACAAAATTACGAGGTTTTGCTTTAAAAGTGATTTTTAATGAATGTTTTAAATTTAGAATAACTTCAAGTGATTCAGAAAAAAACAGCCTTTCAACTTTTGAACCAAGCCAGTGAATTTTTCAACTCACAAGTAATTATTTTCAGAGTTGTATTACGATTGCAAAAAATTTCATTTTTCTTCTCATTTATTTATCACGGTGCTTGTGAATAATTAAACGAGAGAATTTTTGCCTAGGAAGTTGGCAGCCCTTCTCTTTTACTTGAATTGAGCAATACCATAATCAAGTTCCAGGGTTAAATTTTCTGCACCAAATATTACGTCAAGGAAATCGAACTGACGAAGGTCATGGGGACAAAACCTTACTGACGTGTCCTAAGCCAAGGCAAAGGCAAATCATTGAAAGGGCCTACGCAAATCGCTTTCAAATCACCCAGTACAGCTCGGAATGACAGAATGAAGCTATAAAATCCTTTTTCTAAGGGCTTTTGTCAAAATTTTTCCAGCCTGATCAGTTTTTCAACCATTCACTGATCAATGCTCCGCCTAAAGCTTAGATGAGATCTCTCTTGTATTATCTGAATCCGGGTACCGTATTACAGCACCGACATGTAATCAACTGAACAACAAAAGATCTTAAGATCTTCATTAGCGTCAATCCTTTCTGGAATCAAGACGCTGCAAGTCACACCACCAAATGTTTGCAGGGTATGATGCAATAACAAAGCCTGAGAAGAAGCTATTGTTGCACAAGAAGAAAGTTTTGTGCAAAGGACCTGGTATAATTGATTAGTGCTCTAAATGGCTTGCACATCTGGCGCTGAATTGGGAAAAGAGAATTTCATACAATGTCATTTGAAGTCTGAAAAGGTTCAAGAGAAGCATTCATTGAATGAGTTTATCAAATCAGGTTCAAGCCTCATGAAAGGATACTCGCAGTATGTCTCTCCTTGGCAAGCCAATGGAAAACTTTCCCTACATTTCTTTAGCTTGCTTGCGGGTCTGCAGTTTTGACAACACGGAGTGTTTGTATCACTGCGAAAAAAAAATATAAAGTGAAGCAAAATCTTATCAAAATAATGGAAATTTCATATTCAACTTTTAACTGCTTAGAATAATATTATTGCTCTCTAACGTTTGGATGATAAAAAAGGAAAAGAAAGGAAAGCATTTCGTTGGCTAACTGTTTTGGCAATACTGTTAAAGTTGTAAATAAATTCATTATTTGTATCCAGTGAAATTTCCATTCTTTTAAAATGCATTCTTTCGCAGTTTTGTGCTAGAAAAAAGAAAATTTTCGTCCATGTGTCAATGACCACCCAGACTTTAGTATGAATGGCGAATTTGGAGAAAAACAAATCTTTCCTACGTTTGAATCAAACCAGCAGGTTTAGAGTGCATATGCAGCGAAATTTGCCATTCCAATATTTCAAAAGAAGTCTATAGAATGCTTCACCCTTGTTCTTATACAAACAACAGAATTCCGATAAGTTAAATGGTTCTTTTTTTAATGAGTGTCAAAGCATGCACATTTTGCAGTTGCATTGCGAAATTTTATTTCCCGCTATGACGTTACAGTGACGAGCAAGGCAAAGAAATTTTAGTCAGGGCTGTTACGTCACTTATCAAGTCGAATTGTGCAAATTGTGATACTGGCGTGAAACTTTGCTATCAGGGGCAGTTTGATGCGCTTAAAAGATAGGATATCGACCCCAACTGAAAATTTCCCCCTTATTACTATTATTAGCTGGGGTAATGTGCCCAAAACTCTAGAGGCGATATTGCGATATCTCTGCTGTAAGTAAGTACAATAACATGAAACTTTGTAGCAAATTCATATCGTATCTTCGTCTCACTTTGGTACAATAGCATGAAACTTTCCAAAAAGGGGTAGTTTGATACGTTAAAAGAGATTGCCCCTTGTTCTCTTAGTCTCACTTTGGTACAATAACACGAAACTCTGAAACAAAAGACAGTTTAACACGCGCAGAAAAGGATAGGATATGGACGAAAAATGAAAAATGAACCCATGTGCTATTTTTAGACTTGAATAAAGGACCTTCATTGGGTGGGGCTCCTCATTCATATGCCATTGGCGATTAAAAGAAAACCGTTTGTTCGTCATGCCAAAATGATACGTAACCAGAGACACGCCTTGGGTTATGATGCGTAACAAGGCATATGCACGCAACTGATCTCTAAATGCATCCTAAATTATTTAAAACTCCGTAGTCCGTTTGCACCAAGGTCCACGCGACGAATTTGAAAGTGGGGGGAGGGACAAGGCTAGCAAAATTAGGGGGCCAAGACTTCTTTTCCTTTTCATGCTGGTATCACAATTCGCACAGTTCAGGTCTAATAGTGTACTTAGAGCCAAGACTATGAAGGTAAAACACCTATTTGAGGACTGGGTTCCAGTACCCCATTCTAAAAATAGCATCAAGGGCAAGATTTTCATATAACTGTTTAGTTGTTTGAAAGAGTAAAGAAATCTACATTTAATATTCATGTAAAAGAGAGTAATTATTTATAGAAGAAAGTCTAACTAGAGACATGGGCACCAGTACCTTATTCTAAAAATAGCACCAAGGGGAAATTCTTATTTCATTTTCTCTTGATATATTTTAATATCTTATAATGCACATACTGTTATTTTCCCTTTTGCACATTTTTCATAAATCAGTAATGATTTGTGGAGATTGGCCTAATTCAAGGACTGGGGCCAAGTACCCTAACCTAAAAATAGGTTTTGGGGGCATTTTTCGGCTTGTGTCTGTTCGGCATCGTCATCAGAAATTACCCCCAGTGTGCCAATTTTCATGCTGGTATCACAATTTGCACAATTCAAGTCAAATACTGTGCTAAGAGAGCCCAAACTAGTTTCCTGACTGCTGTCGACCCGACTCATCACTGTGATGTCACAAACTGGCATTGGTTTTCACAAGTACTAACTTACTTCAAACTCTGATTAAACACATTTTCGCTGGTCCAATTATGACAATTTTGGTGTCAAACGTATCAGAAAAGATTGGAAAATATAACTCTTAAATAAAAACAAGACATTAAATTTCGCTGCATAGACACTTTAAGGCTTTGAAAATGACCTTAAAAATGTTAAAAATAATTAAAAAATGACCTTAGAAATGTTTTTTCAAAGCCAAACTAATTATATTTTTATGAATAACCTGGAAAAGAATGCTTGCACATCTTTTCAAAGTGAAAGCATAATCTGATACCCACCTGCAAGTTGCCCCCAGCTTAAATTTACAGTTTGTACTGCAGCATTTGTCGGTATCGTTGATCTTGGCATCAAAGCCGGGGTCACAGTCCTCGCTTTTAGAAGGATCATTCTTATTTATCTCGACTTCATTATTTCCACAATACTGGCCAACTTTGCCTACGATCAAAATCAGACGATTTTCAACTAGAAGCTAAAAACAGACACGAATAGGTAAAAATAGGTCTTGTCGGGTTGAAATATAATTGCGTCTTGAAGAAAAAGAGAATTGTGCCAATATACCTGGTTATTGTAGCACAAAGAAGAAAGAGAAGACGTATTATAAGGACTGCACGAAGATGGTTAGGTAGAAGTGTCTATCTGTTTGAGTTCAAAATTAAAGAAACAAGACCAACTTCTACGAGTTGAACCAGGGACACCAGCTCATCTCACTGCTGATTTAAACCTTGCAATTTATTGTGGCTATCGAATTTCAAGCACTTGCTTGGTGGACAGCATGCATTTAAACCAGCCCTTGGTGTGTACAACCCTTGGATACGCTGCTAACAGTTAAACTTCACTTTATATGAAACAAAAATTATGCTTCAACTCGAATCCTTGATACAGAAGTTCTACACTGGCTGGCAATATAACGACATCTAAAAACACCAATGGTCTAAACAGTGCTTCCAGACAAGAGTGTGAAACTTGTATCAATTAGAAAAGCTAGTTGGCCCATTAACTACTAACCCTTTAAAGTTCTGTAATTTATCCGCCTTTTTATTGATCCCAAGCAGTGACGTAACGGTGTTTAGGACCAAACTCTGGCACCTGGAGCCCCCCGTTCTTACGGGCGCTGTCTCAAGTTTTCCTAAAGAATTTCAGGTAACTCCGTTACGCCACTCGCTGCAGGATGTAACTGTTTTTAACAAGAGACAGGATGCCCTTCATTCTTCTTCACAGTTAAATTGAATCAAAACTATTGCTTGTATATCTTAATCTTCTTTAGCCTAAATCCAAGCTAGATGCAAACGTATCGTTTTCCTACCAATTCAATCAAATATACTGAAATATACTATCAAAATACGAGTCTAAACCTTACAAAAACGCTTTGATTCATGAAAGTTGTTTTTAATTTTCAATTTCTACTTGATAGGATTTATAATTTGTGGCCTAGGAATGTTTTGAAAATAATAATTAAATATATCATTCCGAACAACGTCTGCAAATTCATATTTGCTTTTTCTGACTTTGATAATCTTGTACTTTTTTGACTGAAATCTCACCAAGAACTTTTTTTAACAATATTTATACCAATCTGCTTTGGTAAAAATAATGAAAGACAAAATAACACCTAAAATGGCAGCAGCATGGTTTGAGGTTTTCGAAAGGGCGGTCTGTGAGAACGAGTAAAAGCGAAAATTTCATTTTGCCTTTCTTAAACGCCTTCTTATGTTACAAACTGTGCTGCGTAGCAAAATATCGTTATTAAATTTCATTTTTCAAACTTAAAGATTGAGGTTTATCAAAATGCTTGCCTTCTTCAAAGCAATTCTTTTTTCAGCAACATAAACAGTTTAGCTTAACAACTCCTGAGATTCTAACTAGCAGACACGACACTTGATGTGCTCCACCTCAGTAAAACTGAAGGATAACATAATATGTGACGTCGAAGAGCCTAATTAACCTCTTGCACTTCTTTTCTCACAAAGAAATAAGGGCAATCAGTTCAGTTATCTCTATTGACAAAGTGATCAGAAAGGTGTCTCCAAGTAAAACACAGCTAGCCAAAATCTTCAGACAAGAAGATCAATTAGACTAATAACCTCTACGACGACAAAGAAAGACATAGTGGTTCTCTTCTAACATGAATCCATTGACAAAATCAGTGATCAATTGACAATACTTGACAAAATCAGTGCATCACGAAAATTGACAATCCAGTACGAAAGAGTCGAAGAGTCGAAATGTTAATTTAACTGATTTGAAATTATGTAACCGGACTGTTTTAACTTTCATACTTGATTGTCGATTTTCGTGATGCACCCATTTTGTCAAGAATTGTCAATTGACCACTGATTTTGTCGATGGATTCATGTTAGAAGAGAACCACTATGTATTTGTCTGTCGTCGCACTGGTTATAAGTCTGATTAACAAGCTACGTTTTCTAAAGTTAAGATCAATAGGGAATGTAAGAGGAAAATTCAACTCTTCAACTTAAGGGCCATTGCTACTGAGGTAAAAGGTCTCACCAAAACAGTGGCCTTTTCAACCACGATTAGTGTATTGCAGTGACGAAACTAACAAAATACAAATTAAAGTAAAAGAAATTAAACCAGGCAAAAAAATTATGATAAAAAGAGAACTGAATAATACAGAACGGCTTAATTGAAAAAGAATGAAAGAGAGGTCATTTTTAACTAGCCTCGTAATTACTTTCTTTACAGGTTTTCATGTTACAGTCAAAATGCCAAATGTAAACAAACAGCGGTGAAAATAAGGAGCTCGTGTACAAAAACTGACTTAACAGGGAGGATTGAAAGAGTGGAAGACAAAACAGTCTGCCATATTTCGAATGACTAGTTACACACAAATTTGCTTTTTTTCAACTCTTATTTTATACCTGCTAGCCGTAAAGTGCAACACTGGTATTTAAACTCGGTCATGGGCCTATTATCGCTTTGATGTGTTTTCATCCTAAATTCATTATCATCTTGACATTGAAAGGTAAGAAAATGATGAGTAAGGATCGATAAACAGTGTTTGATAGGGCAGTGCAAATAAATGTAAAGTGCTTTACAATACAGAGCTAAAATAAGAGCAATGAAGAAAGACCAAAACAAGAGTCATGTGTCAGCGAGTGGAAAAAAGTGAGTAAAAGCCAAGGCGGTCATACAAAATGTAAGTGGATGGGTTGACTACACTCATTTTTTATGAGAAACAAAGGTCGATGTTGAGTACTCCAGTTTCTTAATGTTCTGGAAATTTCAATACTCATTGTTTCTTAAGAGTTTCTTAATTATGATGTTATGAAATGTTCGTGACCTTTTTTATCACGTCAAGAGATTCGCTTCTGTTCTGATGCTGTATTTAGATGTGGGAAGTATATTTTTATCCCTTGTGTCTTAAGTTCTAGGCCAACAGAGCAATCATGTTCTTTGATTTTGCATAATTTCGTTGTTCTCAGTTTTATCACGATTTAATAGTTTCTTAATTTTTTGGCTTCGAGTACTGAAGTTTCTTAATTTTTTCTGGCTGTCCAGTACTCGTTTTTTATAGCCAGTTTCTTATAAAAAAAATGAGTGTATGTTCAGTTCACTGTTAATTAGGTAGATGTTCACTGTTGTCAAATGTATGAAAACTGCCTTTCTACAAAAACTACAGAGTGCTTGAGTCAGGTGGGTCATTAGACCACTTCTGTTTCACTGAGAAAATCATCTCAAGCAAAAAGTTTGAAAAGTTGAAGACTGCACTGTTGCCAAGCAAAGCTCGTTTAGTTGTATTGGCCAAGCCATGGGAATTTGTCTTTCTTAGATAAACTTCTAATCTAAGTTTACTTTGTATTCTATGCTATGCAGTAGTTTGTTTTTGTTCCTAATCCCGAGATAGCGAATATGATAATCTAATCAATATATCAGGATGAATCGCTATTGTCTCTGTTAGAAGCAGCAATTTCCTTTGAATGAAGAATAACGATTAGTTTGTTCCCAGTCACGGACAACCACAGTCCACCCGACGCCATTAGGCCGGCGCAATAACAGTCAAGTGTAAATACAAAAAGCCAATATGTATTCGAACTTGGAATCCGACCCGATTATGACTGCGAATTAATCGCTGTGCAAAACCAACTGACTTTGTTGCCAATCAGTGAAATCCGGATTAACACAGAAGCAGGACCGAGGCGAATAGGCGTTAATAACCTTGCTAATCTCTACATTCATTTCATCGTTGCCACAAATACCCTTGATCCTTGAATCGAAGCGTTCCTTCAGGGCAGTGCGGGTCACATGCTCAAAAACTATGGATTCGATTGCAAAGACCAAGATACAACATTTTGTTTGAGGGGGCCGATAAATAAGTGTAACAACAGCCATATTTTACAAATAAAATCATTTTACTTATATTTTACTTATGCTACTTAAGTTTTTTGGGGGGCTCTTGCCCCCGCCCCCGGTATCTCGGTCCTTGTTGGATTGTATCAAAAAACGATGATGCTTTTTGAGGTCTTCGTATATTGTGTTTCATATGGATGGTTTAGCTCCGTCTCCATATATCAGACCAACTTTTACGACATCTATTTGCAATTAATTCAGCACTGAGATGCTTTGTTCATAGACAGAAAACTGTTTATACAGCGCCCCGTTAGATAGACCCCAGAAAGATTTCCACTAAATGGCAATTTCATTGCTAGCACAAGCGTAATAACAATTAGTGACGGAGAAACAACCTTACACGAACGTAGTGGGTATAGGAAGAAAGATACCTTTCTAAAGAACCCCACATTCGAACAAAGTCAACGTACAGAACCTTGCATACGTCCAATTACACACATTTAATAAAAGGGACATTCAATTTTCGCATGTGTACATAAGCCTCATCTTTTAAGATTTAAAACTAAGCCTCGTCTACGCGACCAGTTTTTTGTTGACAAAATGGCAACCTTTTTTCATACGCTTTTACTGGAAAAATAAACTGATCATGTAGATTGAGCCAGCCGCGCTGTGGCTTAACCTCATTCTGCTGTATTTTTCACAACACCTCTTTCTTCCTTAACCCTAAGGGTCTGGATACGAGTCAAAATGGCAAATGTTGTTGCCACGTCGCTTACACGAGCGTGCTTTTAAACTGAAAATTTTCGTTGCGTAACATTTAAAAACTCGCATTTCACGTTTCTGAATAAGGAAGCTTGTAAAGGAAAATTTCAATTTGACTTAATCTACACTACGAAAACATTGAAGAAATTTGATTGGAAACAAGAAAATAGCACGTCTAGAGCAATTGCATGTGCAAATAGCTGCACTTCAACAAAAGTGGATAAAAACCTTCAACATAAATAAGGATATCTCTATTACTGCATTTTTGAAGCTTTGTTAATGATTCAATTAGAATTTTGAACTATTAGCATGCATAAATCGACCAAAAACGGCTACAATAAAAGCAAACGTTTTCAAACACACCAAAACATTTCATTTGACACTTCCAAGAGCAAATGGCAAGCTTAAGTACGTCTAAAATATTTGCGTTTATCAAAGCCATCATAAATTTTGCATCACCAAAAACCTGGAGGTAAATCTATTAATTTCTTCCAATTTCTAACTTTATTTTCAAATGACCTGCCAAACAGAAGGTAGAAATATATCAAATATTTCGCTATGGGAAAGGATTTCCACTAGCTACATAAAGAAAAATACAGATAGTAATACTTACTTCTAAAGCAACTGGTTCGTTTGGCCACTAGTACCTTGTCAATAGACCTCAGGCTACACGGTGAAAATTTCTAAAACAAATGAAAATGCAATTACATTTTCGCAGATTGACGCTCATGATCCACTTTTGATCCATAAAGAACACCTTTTTAGCGATCCATTTTTACTGCATTTTATTGATACCTTTTGTGTCCTTATTACATTGGCTTTTTGATGCAAAATTTCACTTTTTCGACCACTTGTTTGTCAACTAAGTTGTCCCAATATTGCATTCATCAAAGCATAATAAGCTACACAACAAAAGGCAAAAATGAAAAGTAAACACTGCTGCTTAACAAGCAATAACAACAATTACCTCAAAAATGCCTAGGATAAGAAGGAATTCGGGGAAGCAAAATGTCACCAATTCTGCATTATTCGGACCATCAGTTCTTAAGATGCTCAGGCAGTGACAAACCTTTGGGTTTCATGATAGACGATATCGGTGACGCCCTTCTGAGACTTGGGTATGCGTTTGCCGTTTTACTTTTAGCTGCTTTAGAAAATTTAGGACAAAAGGGAAACAGACAATTTTGTCTGTCAAGTTGTTGACATGATTCTTTTGGCATGTTGACATGGTTTATCGACACACAAAAAACAACATGATTAAAAATAAGTAAACATCAAATAAATAAAAAATTAAAAGTGCTAGCTTCCAAAATTATCGCAATTTCCATTTTGATGCGGATCTTCTTATTTTTAGGATAATTCTTAGAAAATCCTACCTTTAACAAAAATTACGGTCAACTTAAGCAAACTCACTTTGTTATTTAGCTTCAACCCAGAAACTGAGGTACTGTGCATAATGAACTTGCCACCTTTCGATTCTCCAGGTGAGCATTCAGATGTGAAAGGGTCATGATCTGAACCAAAGTTATGGCCTAGATAAACAGGATGACACCATTAACAAGACAGGCAAGACAAGACAGGATTTTAACAGCTAAACTACAAACGTATGGATTTGGAAGAAATGCCAGCAAGTTTTTCCATAGTTGTTTAACACTCAAATTGCAAAGAACAGCCGTAGAGCTAAATGCAGCAATAGGCATTTTCCATCGGGGAATTTGAATAGCTTACAGGGTGATCTGTTATTTTCAACATGCCTATAAATCATCTCTTTTTACTGACATAATGCAAGAAAAATATAGAAGGGGAAACAATTTGTTATAATCGTGCAAAATTAGATCGTGTGGCTGTTGAATGAAGACCTGGCAAGATTGCCACTGCATAGTACCCTTTTGGAAATTCCACCCCAAGTACCCCACAAATTCTTAAGGGTGCAGTCTCACTGCCTTCCTCTAGCAAGCAATGCAACAAACGACTGATGGATGCACTGATAAAACATGAAATACCACCAGGTACTTCACATTCATTCGCCGTCGAATCATGCCGGTATGCTAGCATCTCTTGGTATCGGCCATATGGCAATGCAATCATCACAGAATCAGTTGCCAAAATTTATCTGATCTCTGTTTAACAAGCCTATTGATAAATAATCAGTAAAAATAATTTGAATGAGAGTCCTGAGATCCCCGTAGAGGCTTGATTGTAAATTAAATATTTAGCTGGTGGCTTATTTGAGGAATGACTCATTTCCTTACGGCATTTCTGACGTCAGAGCATATCAGAGAAAAGCTAGGGATCACTTTTAACAAATAACAGATTTGGAGCTCTTGGTTAACTGTAAATTTATGCGGAATATGCAGTGTAAAGACATACCTAACTCTGTAAGAATCCAATTGAAGTTGCGTGAAAGGAAAGAAAAATGAATAGGGTTATCTTTTCAAGTAATGACTACGTACAACTATCGATTGTTTAAAACCGTTTTACTTCAGCCAAGGAGAAGAACTTACTATGTTTAGATGACAAAATTGCTCCTAAAATTCATTATGGTATATGCCAGATGTAAACACCGTACACTAGAGAGGAACCAGACGATGCACTACTTTATATTACAGGTTAGCTAAAGAACAGCTTCTGGCATATTTTTTCTCTTTAACTGTAAGTATACTATCTCATATCGAGTATGCAACACAGTATCCTTGTCTGATAATGAACCTCTTGACCTGGCGGGTACACTGTTGCTGTGTAATAGGACATAAGAATCTATAGTGTAAGCTGCATCACAAGTAAAAGGTTGTTGTGGTTGCAGTTTTTCTATCCGCCAGCTCAAACAAGATACATTATTTTTAACTTAGATTTTTAGAGAAGTACAATCACGGAACCGTTGCACGAAATTATATAATCCTCTGCACGAGGGAAGACCATACAAAATTATACACGTGGTTCCAAAGTGTGCAACTTACGAGCCGGGTCACAACCTAGGGCTACCAGCCCTCATCATCACATTGATTTATGCATGAGGAGACCATCGTGGCTTATAATGGCAAAATTGGAGATAACTACTGACCAGTTTTGCTTGATATTACACTATGATTAATTACTACACTACGCAATTGCCCGAATGCTTAAACAATAAAAGCGAAATTGGGCTTAACTAGTGGTAAATACCGACTAGACAGTGGGAGGGACAACAACATGGTAGGTCCTTTTTTAAAACCAGTGCAAAAACGTCATAAAAACTTGTATCTAGACAAAACCAAGTTCAAGAGAATATAACGGCTAGGCCAGCTCCCTGTAGGAAACATGATCTGAAGTAGATCACATGACAGTGGACCATTGAATCGTGCAGCTCAACAATCATTTTCTTAACAGTACACAGTCGAGGTATTTTTTGGGCACCGACAAACTACCTAAGCGCGATCCAAATATGGCTTTCACTACACAGCTAAAATACTGTCATGCAGAGGTTGAACTCTCCATTTCCGGCTAAAAATCAAAATACCACTACTGAAAATGTTTTGCGTATCTTACTGAAAGTGATTGCCCAAGCTATGGCCACCATCAACATTTGAATCAAGGATAGACTCTTCTGGTTGAAAAAGTCTGGAGCTATTAAACCTATCTTCGTTCACCAAATTTTTCAATTTGACCACTCATATTTGCCTTAAACTTCAAACAACAGTAGCACTTGTTATCGAACTTCTTACATGATATCACTTATGCATTTGAAACTAATAGTTTATCGGGGCAACGAAACATGAAGTATTGGAGGCTTTTAAAAATATGCAAAAATGCATGATGACCAAGTCTGGTGAAAATAGCTGTTTTAACAATTGGTTTGTAAACGAGACCAGGCCATCTTTCTGCACTAAAGTCCTGAGTAGGTTGTCAACATATATGTTAAGGGCGTGCAACATAAATAATTGCTATGACATCTGCTTTCAAGGAAATGTTTAGCAAAGGGGAAGGTAACAGGAAATATCAAATTTTGAAAATTTTCTTCTAGCCAATCTTATAGAATCAAAATATTTATCTTGACATAAAAGAGGCATATATTTGCAACAAGCATTCACGATACAGGAAAATTAAGGAAAATTAACGAAGAATTCCTGTGCTAATATAAATCCATTAGTTTGAATTTAAATGTCACGCCCAATACAGAGAAATGAACAAGACTATTGTGAAGGAAAAGATAACGATCATAATTAAACATACCATGAGCTGTTACTACATCAGCCTCTGACGTCAGCAGTCTCCTCCCCCAGTTCATGCTGCTACTCAAGCCACTAGCTAAATATGCTACCTCCCCTTTAAAATTTTTGTAAACTAGAGAAGAAAAGTCAACATCAGTCTTCAACTTAAAAATGTATCGAAACAAAATTACGTCGTAGGTTCAAACACACAAAGGCAGGGTTGAAAAAAAGTCTCTGCATCCAAACTGTTGCTAACATGAACTGGGAATGAATGCATACTAAAGCAACACATTAGCTGTGTAGAAAATTGCAACAAACATACAATGTCTAAATGGCGGAAATAATGCATCACTGCAAACATAAATTTTTGAAATACAATGAAGCAAACGACATGGCGGTCAGTAGCGTAGAGAGGGGAGGCAAGTGGGGGCAAACACCCCCCCCCCCTCAATGGCAACATATGACTTTGCAAAAGAGCATTTTTTAGCGTTCGAAAGGGGGTGGACCACCATTTTGCGTTCAACTCGCTTTTACCGCCCATCTTACCACCACGGATACGCTACTAATGATGCTCACTTTATAGTCAGGGATTGTTCGCAAGGCCATTGAAACCAAGAGAAACAAAATTTTCCAAGCCTGAGCTTTGAATTTTTTCCTTTTTGAAGTAAGGTTAAGGGTGTCTGGAGAAAGGATGAAAATTCCCCTGAGAGTTGTGTTAGCAAATTGTCATATTTCTACCGAGCATAGATCTTTTTGGAGTAAACTGTGCTTCCTAAAAGCGACGAATAAAATACTACTTTGTTGAAGAAGTAAGCGCCATGGAATTTAAAAATGGACGGAAAGCAATATTTTTTCGGATAATAACATTTGGAGCAATCAATGTTGGCTTGACCAGAGATATTTACCAGACAGGCGATCAGACGATCAAGCGATCAGGCAACCAAGCGATCAGGCAATCAGGCTATCAAACAATCAGGCGATCAGAAAATCACTCCAGGCAATTAGGCGATCCGGTAATCAGACGATCATCCCACATTGACTATGAATCACTACAAACAGACTCTTTGGACACAGCCTAAGCTTAAGCCTAAGCATTAATTATGGACTTACAGCGTAGAATCCCTGTTCTAGGTTAAGAACAATGTAAGGAATTCCAGTGCTCAGCACATGGACAAAAAAATCGTTGTAGCAAGCCAAAGCCAACAGTTTTATTCCCAAATCAGTAGAGATGCTGTAGTTCATGAAGAAGGGAGGGCCTTTTGCTCGTGGCATTTTCTAAAAATGTTGTTTTGATAAGTCAGTTTACTAATGTATGTCTTCAACATTGCATTAATTCTCTCTTTGGTATTGCAAAAATCGTCAGTATGTCGATTTCATTTTACTTAAAAAACACATATAAAACGCTTTAAAATTATCCTATACGATCTCATGAAAGATTTTTCTTCTCAACCACGTGTTTTATTCTAATGAAAGGATTAGAGGAACGCTGAATACAATCAATCAAGAATTTCAAATATAAAAAATACGATTGGAGCCAAGCAAAGTTCTATCCTTCTTGAATAAAAGTGTTTTGGATTTATTTTCATATTACCTTTTGCTTAATTTCAAACGGGTGGCCTAAATCTTCTTACAACTCAGTATTCTCTTTGTTTTCTTCACCCAATTTTCAAATGACATTGCATTCAATGTGTATCAATCATTCTACATTTTGCTTCCGAATTACATATCATTGCTTTTTCAATAAGCGCGTTTTCTCCATAAATTTTTCCAAAGAAATGCCACATATCCATCTAAGCCAAGTAAATGTAAACTTCAGTATCAATTCAAGAACACTAGTTCAACTTGCCAGCTAGAATCACTTGACTATTACTCATAAGAATAATGACACGACTCTTCACGGTAAACCAGAAATTGGTTATTGCCCAAGGCGTTATTTCTTACTAATGCCGCAATATTTTCGGTAAAGTGTTTATGGGAACCGAAATGAGATGATGATGTCTGTGGTAAATACAGGCAAAAACACTTAGCTCCAGAACACCTTTCCTGGAACATCTCTAACTCAGCCCTAAAACATTCCGATAACTTCGAAGATAATTTTTTTCTTCCACTTTCACTCAAATCTGAAACGGTCATTTAAGCTGTCAATCAATCAAATTAACATTCCGTCATTTTCCCTGTCAAAAATATGACCAAGAAAATCGTCTTTTATAAATCAAAATAGTTTTGACGATATAAGTTTTCTGACATTCTATGTATGTAGTAGAAACGTATCGCAGTCACAGATAAACCATGTTCTATGTTGTAGTCTTAAAAATGCAGGTGGATTACATAATTTCAACTATCTTCTCTGAATTTAGACCCTCTTTTGCAAGCCTATTACGTATGCCCTGTAAGGCACAAAGCAGATGCATTTGGCAACAAACATCGGAACCTTCTAAGGACTTTTGCACAGTTTCCAATCTTAATATTTGAGATGCACCTTCTCAACATTCCGTTGAAAGAAAATTCAACTCATGTCCTTTCTTCTCGATACTGTAATTAAAATATACAGTCCACATACCGGGAGAGCAAATGCCGCCAACAGTTCCAGCCTTTGCATTGGCAACATACGCAACACCAATAACGCCATCAGCAAAATCTTGATACGTGAATAAATGTCCTAAGCAAATATCATTGTCCATCCATGTCCCTTTGCTAAACGCCTAGTCGAATGACAAGCAGAGATAGAACTTCAGTTGCAAGACGAATAGAGAGTGACTATCAAATATGACTGCTAGAAATAACAAAAGGAACGGAGAAGGACATTCTCTCGACATTAAGTTAAAGGTGTTTGAAGAAAATAGCATTTGAGCTCTACGGAAAGTGAAATGTTTGCAAAATTTAAAACCTTAACAACTCATGCCTGCAATTAATCAAACGAAAAAGATTTTGTTAAAAGAATGTGTTTAAGATTTATTAAAAATTCTTCAAAATGTACCAGGACTCTTCATCTGATGTTCTCTATTTTTACTATTTTATTTACAGTTAAGGGATATCAATTACATACAGTTAATGCTATTTAAAATGAGATGAATTGGGTAGTTAAAAATGAGCTACATGATCCATTCAATTAAAGTACATGTTCTTTACCGATTTTGGGAAAAGAAAGCTTTAAAAGAAGAAAATTTGATTTTTTCGTAAAAAATGATGCAAGATGTAAAAATCATCTATTCTCTTCAGTTAAAAAGGATTAAAAAATTCAGCGATATATTTATATAAATGACCGGTTTAAAAAATCAAATAAAAGTAAAAACATGGCATGAAAAGGTGAAAACATTTGCACACCAGAAGCTATTTTGGTTCTAACGCATGCCAAAATTTGACACCGTGGATAAGGGTCAAGAAATTCTGAACTACAATCTTGGACAAAATTGTGAGACAAACTTGAATTTTTGACAATACAAGACAAAGTTCAGAAAACGCCTCAGCCTTCCAATGGATGAAATTTTGTCCCATTTGCCTTCCTCAAAACTTTCTTTGTATCTTTTGAATAAACGTTTCATAGAAATGGAATTTAAATAAAATTATCTATGGTTAATAAAAAAATTATTACAGGAATAACCTTAATTCCCTTACCCCCAAATCAATGTTGGAGTTGTAGACACATCATCTAAGAGCAATTCAAACAGCTTCAACTTTGAAAAAAGGGGGCTGGGGCAGGATTTTCACCTTTTTGAAGAAGGGTAATATTTTTTCGAAAATCTCAACCCTTTTAGCCGGGATTGTAGATCAGGATCGAACCGAGCCTTGAATGGAATGAAATTATCGAAAAACTTAAACTCACAGTAAGAAGGTCTTCTTCTCCCCACGATTTCGGTTTGTACTGATTGTACCCAGGTCCTGAGGAGGAGCTTGGCTCACTGTGCAGTATGACCTGCAATGCAAGAAATAATGAGACAAGCGAAGAAAAATAGCTAACACTTCTTATTGATCTTATTAATGTAGCAGCTATTCATGAGAAGAAAATAAGAATAGAAGAGAATAAAAAGAAGATAAAAGAACAAACGGGCGAACAACAGCGTAAAATACGAGCAGAACTGGGAACAAATATCCAAGACAGACCTTTTTAAAGGAAGCATTAGCAAAACTAGCAAAAAGGGCTGATAAGACGAAAAGTACTTAAGAGCTGATGAAAAGTGCGAGGAAAATTTGGTTGAAAGAAAACAAAGGCAAAATCTACGTTACTGTCAAATTTAAAAAAAAGGAATAGCAGCTCCAAATCGTTCCAAAAATATTGTAAATCTTTGTACAGTCATTTTTGCAAAACTCACCGAAAAAGAAAGATAAAAAAAAGTAAAGTTCGAAAAAATAATACCCCCCCCCCTCCTCAAAATTTTGTGCTCTTTCCTTTTGCAGAACATAAATGTGCTGATTTCTACTAGGATTCAATTTCAGACAAAAGATACCTTATTAAGACTTCAACGTTTCACTAACTCAAAAAATTTAAAGAAATGCAACAGCAACAACGAAGTAAACATGCAAACTTACTGGCACATTTGTCTGAAATTTTTAGGCCAAAACTATTGCAACAATTAGGCCAAAACAAAAACTTTTAAGCCAAAGCCATAACTATTAGTCCAAAACAAAATAGACAAAATAAACTTTTAGGCCAAAATAGCTTTACGACAAAAACAGAATAAAAAGGTAAAATGATTTTAAATAAATATTGATTAAACTTCACACCTTTCGAACCTCGAGACCAATATTTCTCAGTCCTGAAGGCCACGTGATTGTCCGATATATCTGATCTACTCTTTGAATAACCGAAAGCTAAAAAAGAAAAGACGTTTAACAGAAAGAATAAAAAGCATTAATTAAAGCAGATTTTATTAAATAAAAAATCAGTGTAATATAATCTATATATTCATTAGCTTCAGCTAGAAAAATTGATTTTTTCTGTAAATTGATAGGAAAATCGGTAATTAAAAACACCCTAGCTGTTGAGATATTATACTGTAACCAAGTTGTGGATTTCAATGAAATTAGAGTGGTAGAAAAAAATTTGATCAACGGAGCAATGTTTGCATATTGTCTATAAAAGATTGGAAAGGATCTCAGATTATATATGTTAATCAGATGCGCAAAAGATAGCGGCCTCCTTGACAATACCGCTGTTATCGTTCCTTGTATAGAAAAGAGCAGCACATACCAGGCAAGTTGGATGCTTTTTAGGCCGCAAAGAAATTTTAATGAATAGATATTTATGTTTTAACAAGGCGTTAGCTTTTAACAGAATTACTTTACCATGTAATTGATGGCGGTGCTGGTCTTTCCTTGTCCCATGTGATCATAGAATAGGTAATCGGCTACAAGTGCCAGGTTGCACGTGTCATATGTCTCTATGGTAGAAAATGTTGATCTTCTATTCCTGGAATGAGTCTCTTCATTCTCGGAAGCCGTATCTGCAAAGCCAACAACATTTGACGTCATACCCTACTTCCTCTAATCAAAGTCTGGTTCAAATAAACGCCTCATCTTTCCAAACAAAACTTTAAATTAACGAACGTCCCCTATTAACACCGAATAATGCAAAGTGGCGTTGTATCAAAATTACGGAAAATGGAAAAAGGTCAAATCTTCATTTTAATGCAGCAATCAGAAGCAAAAGGGATATTGTTCCTCTTCCTCTAGGGATATTTTCTGAAAATTAAGTTTCTGCTTATAAACTCGTAATTCCTCCATTACAACCAAATACCCTAATATTACGGAACCGAATTAGCCTGATAAGAAAAAAGTTTTGTTAAGTTTCGAGATTTGACTCGAAATTTAATATTTATTGTTGGCTACTAAAATTTTCAAATACAGATGTTATGGCTTCGCAATTTGATCAGTCCAATTAAAACAAGCTAGCAACTAATTATCTTTACAATTGCCACGTAGAAAAAGGAAATTTCAATAATAATATCGACTATTTCTGTTCTAATAAATTGATTAACATAATTTTAAGAATTGGTTAAATCAAACAAAACAGAAAAATTATTCTCGGTAACTCAAAAGGCAAACATACATAACGATTTCTTCTTCTCAACATTTTAGCCCTTAAACTTCTAAAGGCCAAATGAATAAAAAGATTCCCAAAACAAAACAAAAACAATACAGAGCAAAATGATCTTTATGTGAAACAAAATGCACGGCCGTGGTCCACTAGTATCATTAAAGCCCATGACACAATTATTATGGTTTATTTGCATATCTACCAAAAAGGAGGCTTTTCGAATAGGCAAAGCCAAGCCCTAACACAAACAGTCCTTGAAGAACTCATTTGGTGCAATTTTTTTCTGAGAAGGAAAAATAAATCTACCGCTTCAACTTACATTGAGTCAGATGTTCAGCATTTCGCTCCTTCCCAGGGTCCTTTACACCACAAAAAGAAGGATGCTTTCTGTAAACATGAAGAAACACAAAGTTAATAACAAGTCGATTAAGAGCCAGCTATGTCATACGGCAAATCTTAACGATAAGCAACAAGGACAGAAATATTTGGTCAAAAGATGACTGGCGCACACCCATGGCCCAACAGCTCTAAAATCACCTTTTGTTTCGGATTGAGCAAAATAAATGCAGTGCTTTAGAAACATATAACAACTCTTCTTATAATCAAGTTTTTTCTTGACCAACTCTGGAAATGTGAAATTAGAGAGCAAATCAGGCTGTTTTTCAGGCAGAAACGCCTTCATATTCACGATAAAGGCAAGCCACTTTTCACTAGGATTTCGGGTGCAACGGGCTCGTCCAAAGCAAGGTCAGGTTTGCAAAAGGCACCAATTTCATACCAGTGAGCTTCTTAAGTTGGAAAATCCAGATAAAATTAGTTAGTCACTAGACTTTGGTTCAGAATTGTGACGACTTGATTTCAAGAGCCAACCGGCCCACGTAAGTTTCTACATGCAATACAATAACATTTAAGAAGTAGTTTATATACTGATTTGTGTTCAGATGTTGAACAAAACTGCTCCTCGTGTTTTTCATGACTATTTTGAGCGGATTTACCACCACAAAGCTACAAGAGCCAATGGTCATAACTTGAAAATTCCAAGGGTAAAAACTGATATCGCTAAAAGAAGATTCTATATAATGAAGTTAAGATCTATAACGCACCACCAACGCACTTAAAGACACTTTAAGAAATTATATTACCCGTTCAAGCAGGGACTCGGGGAACATTTTATGGATTGCGTTTCTCAGCAACATTTGTAACATGTTTTATATTATAGCAACTATTCAAAAAGTAAATCTGTTAACTTTTATTTGTTTTGAAAACAAGGCTTCTCTTGATAGCAGCTAATGTACTGTAAGCTGACTGAGTCATCCTGTAAAATGATTATTAATATATAGAGGGCACAAAGATTAAACAAACTCCCTTATAATACTGTAAGATAAAGTTTCCGTTTGGTTATCAACAATTAAGCTTTAATGAATTGCTATCAAGAAACAGCCGAGTACCGTAAGAATCTGAACGAGCCACGCTGCTACGAACAGCAAAATACGGTACTCGGTACACCAGAAAATTTAATTCCTAAGATTAAAGCAATCAATTAGATTTGCCGATGAAGCATTTAGTTAAAGAAATCCTGCTAGCTTTTAAAGGAAATTTAAACCCAAAGGAAGAAATGGTACATAAAATAAAACTCTGTTGAAGCAGGGAACCCTACCAAAGTATATTTGTATCAAATTAAGCAACATTGACGACGTCACAGCTTATGTATTGAGTATAACGAGAAGAGCTGGCTAAATAGAAATAAAATTCTAGGAAATATTTAAAATAACTTTTTATTTCTCGAAATTTGCGTCGTTGGCCATTCCGAATTGACAAAATTTTGGAAAACAACGATGGAGATTTTCAAACAACTTAGAAGCTAGTAACCAAATTCAAATGGATTTTCTATAAAATCAATTATAACAAATACTCTATTCAAACTTTAATTCTTATTAAGTTAATTAACCATAATATGACAATAAATAGATTACCTGCTGTTGTGGAAATTCGGGTTTGACAAATTTGACCGCACGTCTGACAGCCGGTAAACAATCATATCAAAATCATGGTCTCCATCTATGTGTCTTGATGACGACTGAAAAGCATACAGTGACGCCATTATGAAAGAAAGAGCTCCCTAATGCCTTTAAACACCAGAACCTTGTGCAGAGGGAAAGGTGTCCTGCTTTATAAAACTATCAGAAATTGGCAGATTTTAGACGAGTTCAAGGCAATCAAACAGATACTAATTTTCCGTTAGAATTTCAGTCAACATCTAAAAACTACGAATTCTCAAGTTTGCGAAAAATTTACTTAAATTATCGAACATTTTTTGTTTCAAATTGGTAAAAGTCAACATATCAGGGAGTCAAAATATTGGATTTGAATATCTTTCCATCAATTTTGCTTTGATTAAAATGATCGTCATAAAAATTTCAGTCCATCTCTCTAAACATTTTCATAAGGCACCTTGCTTAAACCAGATTGAAAGATGTCAATCAACTATTGACAAATCAACAGGCATGTGAGTGGTACTATACTTATTAATTGGCTAAGTTTTGATTTGCAGATAGTATAAGACACATCAGTATTGTCAATATACCCTCAAAAGGCACTAGGTTCTTAACATTGTTTTCCTGCTCACCTTTATTCCTATTGGTTGGATTATAGAAAAAGGCTATTGTTACAATCTGAACTAATGGCTGTAGGATCTTACCTCTACAATGTATGAATCATCCATTAAATCTATATTTGCCATTAGAATACCATCTTCTAAATGTGCTTGAACTTTTGAACCAACAATACCTGCATTGAGTATGTACCAAATAATTTATTTTTAATCCTGGCAAGCCAGCAAACCTGCTAAAATTGCTACACTGTTGTAAATTTTTGAAATGTTGGAGATTTAATTCATAATTTTTAATCTAATTTTAACACATATTAGGCATGGTTTTCTCAGTCTGTACTTTAAGTGATAGTTTTTTCTGCAAAATCTTAACTTTTTATCTCAAGAGGAAAATTCAGCTCAAATATAGAATGACACTGCTGCAATAGTTTTATCACTGCAAGACAAACTTGCATGAAGTGTTCAATAAAGTTCTGCATCATGACAAAAAAGATCACTGAATTATCAAAACATTAAAGTACTAATTGGAATAAAATTTTCAAAATTGTAATGGTCTAGCTGCTGGGCATGAGTTTCATATTGGGTCTCATGTAAAGGGCCTCTTAAAACCACAATTCATTGGGTTACTGCAATTATATAGGATTACAGGATTATATTTAAACCACAGATATCTTTGAGTCAAACACAGAAGTCCATGAGCCTTTTTGAGTCTCAAAATGAACAAAGCAGTAAATTTAGCAAGATTCTAAAAGGATATTTTGTACCTTCAACATAACCAGTCAAAAAGCTATCCTTGTCCACTGCCACTTCAACTTCATCATTCTTTCTAATCAATACAGCTTTGAAGTCAGGTGAGAATATTGAATGGTCTGGGATCATACGCAAATCAAATTCCCTTTGATAAACAACACAACATTAACTTTAGCATAGGGGGCAAACAATTTTATGCAAATGTTTGATATTATACCAGATAGCAAAACAGGCTAAGTTTCAACAACATGGCACTCCAAAAATTGTGTACCTGCACAAGAATCCTTTATTTCTTCCAGCCTCCAGGTTAATCATTAAGATACCTATATTAAATTTTCAGTGCACCAATGTCAAACCCTGCAACCAAACACTGCCTTACAAGAAAATAAATGTGTTTAACTTGTTATATGGCATCCACATAATGCAATGATTACATTATCTATAAAAATTGTGTTGCCCTTACAGATAATGTGTTCTAACTTAGCAAAATATTTGAGGTGTTGGTTTTAAGATCAGTAGAGCAACTTTGTGATACATTTATGTAGTTGAACAAGGTACATGCAGTGACAGAACTATGGAAGGCTTTGGGTGGCGCCTTTGCTCGCAAATGAAAATCTGGATTTGCAGCATAGGGTACTCATGTCATAATGGGAAGTTTTTGCCATAATGGGAAAAGAAAAAAAGCAGCAATGTTTTGAGCAAATTTTTGTCTCCCTAGCCATATTTTATTATTGTTTCTTTTGTGCAAAACATAAATGAAAAGGTTCCTCAGCTGCATCTTTGGAAAACTTTCCTATGTACAGTTATATAATTTACAATTTTTTTTAAAAACCCAAATCTGTTATTTTGAAATTTGAAGTCCTTTGACCTAATTGATTTGATAAGATTTGAAATAATCGAAATGTACTTTTATGATGAGTTTATCTGCAAGTACCTCCCAAGTGAACGGAAATGTATTTCTCTCTCATACATCCCACCATGACTGGCACTTCTTTTAACTATTCTATGTCTAATTTGTTTCTTCTTCAAAGTATCATAATCCTTCAGTATCTCTGTAAGAGTTCGGCTATCTAGAATAACAAAAAACAACAAAATTTAATATTAGTGCCGAAAGAATCTCAGATATTTAAAAACCTTCTAAATGGCATTAGCAATTGGCTATCCTGTTTTTAAATCAAAATATGAATCAGCTTTAAATGATGTTACAAAAAACATAAAATGGTTTGAGTATTTGAAACATAAAAAATCGATTGTAGCCATGATATGTAGCATGGTAATTATAGCAAAAATTTGCAGAACCTAACCACCATGAGTACAAGTTAACTTATGGTGGTTACCTAAAAAGGGTAACGACAGTGACATTGTTTTACTTCTATGAGAAAACCGCAAATGACGACGAATTAATGAACATAGCAAGGATTAGCAAAATATAATTTCTACAATAAATCAAAAGCTTGAACTTACAAGATGCTGTTAAAATGCCTCTGATGCCGAGCAATAGCAAAGGCAGAATAAGATAAAAATTCCTGTACACTGAAAGTGGCCTAAGAGGTTGCGGCAGCAACATGTTTTCTTGATTTCGTTCTCTATAAAATTGAACAGTTACTATTATTTTGCTCCTAGTACCATCCAATGAATCTTCTTATCAATTGTTAGTCCATTATTATCTCAAGACTATTGAATCAAACCATAGTCTCGCCTTGTTTTCGAAAAACCCTCCATTGCAGCATACTGTTTATTACAAGGTGCGTAGCAGGAATCGGTATGCTACGGAGGAGACAATTAAGGAAGTGAACAATTTTCAAAGAACTTGCTAAATTACTAATTAAAATGTTTGCTTTTTTCAAAGCCATTTTCAAATAAACAAATTATAGAATCAAATAAGTGTGAAAAGTTATGAAACTAAGCTTTTAATCAATAGTTATAAGTTTCTTAGTTTTTTGTCAACTTTAAAACACTTTCTTAGATACCAATTTCTAGGTAGCAAAGATGTATGGAACGCGAATTGTCTGTAACCTGGTACCTTCCGTTTAAAAGAATCATTTCTATCGGTAGGTTTGGGGGAATAAACAAAAGTTTGATTCGCATGTTCATGGGCGTAGTGGATACAAACATTTAGCGGGCTAAGAATGAGTCTTGGATTAAAGCATTTAGAGGGTTCCCTCTATGTGTACTTCAGGTGTCAGATCAGTGCCTTTGAAGGCATGGATACGAAATAAATTTGCCGGTATTATGCTGCCAATCATATCTTTGAGCAGCATTGAGGGTAGGGTATTTTAACTCGCAGACAGCTTTAGATGAGCCTCATTATTCTTAAAAAGTTTCGATTTTAAACACAAGATTATTCTTAAATTGTTCTTGCTCACAGAGTTAATTGCTCGGAGAGCAGGCGAGAGCATTTCAAAACATAAGATATATAGTGTGAAAGTGACAGCTGGCTTGCCTTGTGAGAGAACTAACACAAATTTGAACATTTAAGTCAGGCATTAGTGGCGTGCTGGCAGGGGGCATGGGGGAACGGGGGTAATTACCGATCAAAAATCAGGGGCGCCATTACTGAAATAATAAGAAATGCTAGGAAGAAAAAGCTGAGAGATTATGTCCCAATCTGAAGAAAATTATGTTGCATAAGCTAAAATATTTAATAACGATATAAGAAAAACGATTAAAACCATCAAATTTTTATAAATCGGGCAAATTCGTAGTAAACCCAAACAATGCCTGCCTCGAACAGCCTTAGGACATATTGTAAACCATTATTTTTTGATTTCTGTTCTTCTTTTTTTTAATTATTATTTTTTTATTCTTACTGTTATTATTCAAACAAAACTAATAATAAATTATCGTCATTTCGCGTCAAACTGGGCACATGGCTCTGATAGCTCCTTCATGAGTTTTTTCCATGTGTCCATCAGCTGATCTTATATAATATCTTATGTTGTTCCCTGTAATCAGTGTAATGTAATCTTTATTGTAATAAATGATTGTATCTTAACAACTAGCATGACGTATCTTGTAATTAATTGATTTGTTGGTGAAAAAAGTTTTGATTTGATTTGATTTGATTTGATTTGATTTGATTTAGGACCATATTTTGAAGAAAGCTTATGGGCATTGTCCAGGATCTTCCATGGGTCTAGGGCGATGTTGTGGTTATTTTGGGTGCATTTTTCGAACATCTAGAACGTCTTTTTTGCAATTTTTTTGCAAAGCCTTCAAGAAACAATTTTACCCCTTCTTTCTAACCCTAACTGCCGTTAATAATGACAACCTTAATTATCATTGTTGTGCAGTCTGATGATACAGCACCCCCTGGGTACTAGACTCACTCTTATTTCACTTGAGTCTGGTATCCCAGGGTATACAAAAAAATAACATACTCATTTTGAAAATTTTCTTTCACATCCCGTCAGTGATTGACTACCCACTCTCCCCTCATCTTAAGGTGTTTCGGTACACTCCAAGGATTAATTTAAGGTGCTGAATCACTTCACTTTTCAGTTTGAAAATCCCTAAATACTACTGATTTGGATGTTTTCAGAATAAGGACAAATGGATACAAACTATAATCGAGAGTCAAATGAGATAATAGAATCAACCCACGTGTGAAACTCAACTAAAGCCAGCTTTAACAATAAAAATAATATACAGTTAATCACAAACGCACTTCATAATGCAAAAAGTGTTTTTTTAAGAAATAGAAAGAATACTGGAAAAGAAATAGATAAAAGGAATAGTGCAATGAATCCTGTTATTGCTAAGATTCCAAGGAATAAGCCGAGGTCTGTGGGGTCTTATAAAGTAATTATGTAAATTTTAAGACTGAGATTAATCAAATGTAATAAAAACATGCCTTGAAAAAACAAAATGTTTTAATTAATTGCAAGAAAATAACTGCTAGAAATATTCTGAAATATATTTTAAGATAATCTAAGGGGTGTGGTCACAAAACTGGCTCCGCTCGCAGGGAAGCTTCTTCTTTCATATAATCCTAGGAACTCTGACAACCAGGGCTTTCTTGTATTGCATGACCAAAAAGACCTAATGCCACTTTCACCATCAAATGGCTGCCTGCTTCTCTTCTCTTGTATGAAACACAATACACCACAATAATTGGAGTGAATACCATTTCTATCTTTGTTTTCTATATGGAAATGTCTTTGAAAAAAGCAAACATTTTACAAAATAAAAGCTTTTTCGTCTGACACTCCTCAGAGCATAAAATGTCAGAATAAGGGTCCGAAAGAACAAGATGAAAAATATAAATAAAGATAATATATTTTATATTTGGATAAGAACATTTTTTGGTTTGAGTATCTATAAGGCTAGCCAGGCATAGTTTTGGAAGATTTTTTTATTTCATTTTTATTTTATAATATTTATACAGGTTAAAGGTTCATACATATGTTTTTCAACCTGACCTGTTTAAAAGAATAAAATAAGAGCTAATAACTATGTTAAAATACTAGTAACAAAAGAAATTTACCAATCAAACCTAATTTACAATATCTAATAATACTAAGGCTATAAAAAGCGAACGTAAAGATGAAATAAAAGTTGTCCCCGACTATAGTTGTTCTTTGAAGGTTTTCAGGGAGGGGGCCAATTTGGTAGCCCTTTCTAGATTATTCCACAGTTTTGGACCGCGATAAGAAAAAGCCTTTTGGCCATTTATTGTTCTTAGCAGCGGTATCTTAAGATCAGTTTCTGATGAACGCAGAAACCGTTCTCTATCATCCGAACATTTTTCGAATAATTTTCTCAAATAGTCTGGTGCAAGCATATTTAGAGATTTGTAAGTTAGCGTGGCTGTCTCCTTTCTTACAAGATTTCTGATGGTTAACCAGCCAAGATTCTGAATTATCGGAGCAGCAGATGCATCGTATGGGCTGCTAGTTACAATTCTGGCAGCTCTATTTTGGATTTTTTGCAACACGTCAAGCTTTGATTCATTACAGCAGCCCCAAACGGAACAACAGTAGCTCAAATGGGGCTCAACAATTCCTCTATACATTTTGTTGAGGATGTCAGATGGAAGATATTTCTTAGAATACTTAATAAGTCCAAGGGCTCGATTAGCCTTGGTCTTGATAGTATCGATATGCTTGTCCCAGTTGAGCTTACTGTCTATCTGAACACCTAAGTATCTTGTGTTGGTGATCATTTCAATGTTCTGATCACCTATTGAAAAAGAAAAAGATGGTGGAGCATCAGGCTGGCTTTCGATCTTACGGATGTTTGGACCAGAGCCTATAACAAGTGACTGCGTTTTCACTACGTTCAAGGAAAGTTTATTTGCATGCAACCAATCCTGTAGTTTCAAAAGATCTAAGTTTAGGTCATTTTGAAGGTCACCAATACTTTTTGAAGAGAGGGAAATGGCCGTGTCATCAGCATACATGCTGACATGAGATTTTTGCAAGGAAAAAGGCAAATCATTGATGTAAATCAGGAACAAGAGTGGACCAAGACAAGAGCCTTGGGGAACTCCACAATTTATTCCCCTCACATCAGAGGAGGTGCCATCCACCCTGCAGAATTGTTTACGATTTTCCAAATATGATGTGAACCAGTCATGTTCCAGGCCGGTCACTCCGTACATATTCATTTTTTCCAGTAGGATTTTATGATCGACCGTGTCGAAAGCCTTCTTCAAGTCAATAAAGACTAGACCAGTGTATTTTCCTTTATCTATATTCAGGTACCAATCATTGGTGCTAGCTAGAAGGGCTGTGGCTACCGAGTGTAAGAGTCGAAAACCCGACTGATGCTCATATAGTGATTTATTCGCATCCAGGTATCCATAAAACTGATTGAAAATTAATTTCTCAAATAGCCTAGATATGAAAGGAAGAACTGATATTGGTCTATAGTTCGATCTGTCATCCTTTGCGCCACTCTTGAAGATGGGTGCAATACGCGCTATTTTCCAGTCCTCCGGAAATTTTCCTGCAAACAATGATTTATTGAAGAGATCACACAAGGATCCACCAACAACTGGCAAAGCAATCTTCAAATAAAAGCTCGCAATGCCATCGTGACCGGAACCATGCGATATCTTCATCTTATTCAAGGTTGATGATAATTTATCTGCCATGATGGAGGAGTTTCAAACGGGTATTCACCAGACAAGAGTGGATTGGCTTTCTTTGGAATTTTCTCACTAAGTTTATTCCCAATGCTGCAGAAGTACTCATTCATTGAAGATGCAATTGCTTTGTTACCCCTAATTGTTTGCCCGTCTACAGTAAGGTTAGGCACAACTGTAGTGTTCGACTTTTTGTTAATGACTTGGTTGATGGTTTTCCAAGTTTTCTTGGGGTCACCTTGAAACTGCGTGATTTTTTCAGAGAAATACTCGCGTTTGAGTTGAGTATTCATGTTATTTAACCTGTTACGAATTTGCCTGTAGGATTCCATCAACAATTTTGAGTTGGTTTTTACAGCTCGAGTTTTTAACTTATCTCTGGTTTTAGCCAATTTGAAATAATCAGCATTCAGCCAAGGCGTATATCTATCAGACACGCGTCTTCTTAATGTAGGCGCATGCTTTTCTAGAATAAGCGAAAATATTTGGGTCCACTTGCGTACTGCATCATCAATGTCTTGAGCATCAGCTACAAGTGCCTCCCAATTAACCTCAGAGAAATCTGAGAGGAAAGCCTCTTGATTAAAATTCTTCAACTGACGAGATGTTATATATTTGTGCTGGTGTTTAACACCGCCACGCAGCTTTCTAACACAATATACAAGATAATGGTCACTAAGACTAATCTTAAGCACTCCACTCTCTGCAATATTGTTACAGATTAGTAGCAGTTACAGATTTGTATTATATAGACAAACCTCATATTACATAAAAAATATGCAATTTATCACCAATGCTGTGTTCTGGACAGTTCTTAGAACATTGAAATATATAACATGATTAGAGATCAAGTCTCTAAAAACAGCATTTTATGAAAAAAAACAGCTAGAAACAGTTGATTTGCCTTTTAAGGATCAACCAATAACTTACAAACACAGTAATTGCATTCCAATCTATTTCCCCCATTCACAAAGAAATGCTATATCGACTCCATAGGGTGGAATTGATGAAAATTCCCTGTTATCAGGTTTGCTACTCTGTTTTGTTTTGGCCAGGTTTTATATGTTCTTGTAAGGTTTTGGTCCGTCCAAAAGAGGTCCAGTCAAAACTTAGCCACACCCTATTTGGCCCTGAAAATTTGCGTTTTACGCTGTTTTGTGCAGTGATGAAAATTCCTTAAATTAATGCCTGGATAAATAGATATAGATCGGCGTGCTTCCGAACTCTTGTACTTAACTGCATATCTCCGAAACTCTGAAGGAACATTTTAATAAGGGGCACCATTTTAGATAGCATATCAAAATGCGCCATTTTGTCATCCCCCCCCCCCGGCGATCTCTTACACATCACGCTACTGCCAGGCGACGAACATTGAGCCAGGCATTACTTGAATTGTTCGTAATTTTTAGCAATTTTGAGCCTCAGTCTTCTTATAAGTGTGTATGTCAATTAATGTCATTTCTCAACATTTAAACACATGCCAAGTACCATTTTTAAGAGATGAAGCCCAGAATTTTCTCAGGACTCTGAAATGTGTCACAGAACGCCGACTCACATAATGTTGTCAGAAAGGACACACTGGTCCCAGGGAACTGTCATGATAGGGTGGGGGTAGCAAGATGTTGTTCTCGTTCCCAGATTGTACAATACAGTTGTGAGACACCAACTAAATCTTGAGTGGAACATTGATTTGAACACACTCAATCGCTTCAACCTCGCTTCTCAAGAGCAGCTGAGGCCTGACAGGTCCAAAAGTAAGAATATGCAGTTACTTTCAAGCGCTAAAACTGTATGAAAAGCTAATCATAACTTTTTGCAATGTTTTCATAGTGTAAGAGATACCCTGATGATAATTGTCCAATCAAAATTGAAAAAAAAGGAAAAAATCAAGATGAATTAGAAAGTATATTAGATAATTGATCGCAAACTTTTTAGCTGAAAATCAAATATGACTTTTTTCACCCTGTCGCTTTTTTTACTTGAAGCATCACTGCCATTAAGCTACTTTGAAGCAGGTTCTTTAATCGGTTTTATGCACCTATTTTAACAGATTTTTGGTAAACTCTCTAAACAAGCTGTTGCACAATTTGCAGTAGACACACAAGAAACAAAATCCAATAACTTTTAAACAGTTTTATCTTTTTTTACTCCTGGCAAGACAATGTTCTAATCGAAGAGACCAAAGCCCATGTCATCGTCAGATTCTTCTTCAGATTCCTCCTTCTTTTGCTCTGCTGCTGCTGGCTTGTCATCGGCGGCAGCTGCTGGAGCTGCAGCGACTGCAAACTTGCTTGGGTCTGCAAGATACTCCTTGATGGTGGCTATCTCTTTGATGTCGATATCAGCTTCAAGGCAGACAGCAGCAATATTCTTGAAGCCATTTACCATACTGTGTGGAACTGATGCAACAGTTGGGTATCCAATTTCAAGTGACACTGCAGCAATGTTGCCTACACCCTACAGGAGAAATTCAGAACATTTCAATGATAACCATGCAGTATACCATTATCATATCAAAAATACAACATTAGAGGTTGCTATAATAATGATAATTTTATGACCTCTCATTCCGTCCTAGTATCAACAAGACAAAAGTCATTATGAAGTTGATCAGAAATTGACTAATCATTGAGGCCTTTGTAACATAATGAAATGCATATACACTGAGACTACTTACAGAAAGGAAGGTCTTGATGAGGTCATCAGGCCTGATGTCAAGAATATCTGGACTGTAAATGCTACCATTGTCAAAAACTGCAAACAAAAAAGGAGATATTAGTTACAACAAAACTAATTAACCAAAGAAATAAAGATATAGAAACCTATTTAAAATGTTAAGGGATCAGATTTGCAAAAGTTACATAGTTCACTATCAAACATCTTTTACAAAAGACTTCTCACAATCTAGATACTCTGATGTCAAAGGTAACATTGTCTAAATTCAGAAGTTAATATACAAAGAATAAATAAGAGACGTCCAATAAGATAACAATATTCTTGATTACTTGTAAGAAATCTCTTAAACTCAGGGTGACTTCAAAAATTAAAAAAAGAAAACTAAATCAAGAAATATAAAAAACATATACCAGTTCTGCAGACAAGCCCATAATGAAATGGGTAAATCTTCAACATAGATAAAAGAGCTGCTTCAGAGGCACCAACTTTTTCATCTTTCTTGATAAGATGGATGTCACTCTAAAATGCAAAAAATCAAGAACACAAATGAAATCAAATCACTTAAATTATAAATTTCAACAGATTTATGTGCTGCTATATACCAGGCTAAAAGCTGTCAGAAACAGGCCATAAAAATAATAATTATTCAAGGGTTTCCACATAATTGCAAGATAAGAGAGAAACACTGCTTCAATGGTTCAAGCATTCATCCCTAGAGCTATACCTGCCCTTGAGTAACAACTTGTATAGCCATATTCTGGTCATAATTAGCTTTGCTTACCAGAATTTCAATGGTTCCCTTGGTGATCTTGGTTGGAATGGACAAAGCCTGGAAGAAAGATGTCTTTTCAGGGCCAAGACCTGTGTTGATCTTCTCGATAAACACATCAATAGGAGCAATGGCTCCAGCTTTTGCTGGTGCTTCCTTCTGGTTACTGAGCAGGACATCTCTGATTTCCAACAGGTCCTCCTTCGTGAAAACAAACCCAATATTCCCAATAACGTGAGGCAACAATTTCTCGAGAGTGGGGTTTTTATCCAACTGACCTCGGATGGCCTTTCTCATCATAGTGTTTTTTCCCATAAGAACCTCAGCTCTTCCTCGTAGAGCAATTCTGATCTGCTGCATTTGTTTGGAGCCAACATTGTCAGCACTTACCACAAAGCATTTTGGGTATTCTGCTAATAATTCCTATAACAAAAAAGAAGAAACTGATGTGACTATATAAATAACACTTTACGAAAAAGAATCTGAAAAATTGTTCTTTTTACATGTTAAGACTAACAATTCAGTTTTTCGTCAAGTCCGGTTCACACCAGTGGTTTATCACTCTGTCCAAACAGTGGAGAAGATTGTTTAGAAACAACAGGGCATTCTGAGCCTGGGTAGTTATTATAATGGCATAAATTAAAACACAACAAATTCAAGTCTGGAAGAAAGTACATGGAAGAGCTTCATAATATTTTTTTCCGCACACTATATAAGAACAAAGAGCATGATAACAATGCTCAGTAGATTTTACCAGCAAATCAACCATACAATTAAAAATGTGATGCAATGTGATCTCAGTATCAATTGATAGTATGTTGATGTAGCAAAATCAATGATGAAATAAGAACAATATTAAGAAACTTGAGCCTCAAATCATCGAAAAATTAGAACATCAAGCTACAGCAAAAATTATTTTGTTCTCATATTCTCACAATATATATATATATTATATTTGGTTCTTATAGTTTGCTGAGTGTAATAACCTTAAGAACATCATGCTACTGAGAAAACAAATCTTAGCTGTTTGCCAAACTATAGACCAATCTTAGAATTAATTGCTAGATAAATTCTATAAAAATCTATAGCCAAGAAAGGGCTTTTAAATTGATTGAAGACACAGCTATACTTACTGCAATTTTTAGGAAATAGTTTGCTTTCCAGGTTGGTTTGTCTTCCCGCACCATTTTGAGTTATGGTAAGGATTGCCACAAAGGGTTTAAAGTTACACTGTAAAATAAAAATCAGAAAGATATTACAAAAGAAATGTTTTCGGCAATGGGTCCATAAAAACAAGTTGTACTTTCTTAGTCATGAAATGTTTGTGATACAAGACACTCTAAATATTGTCTATAGTCCTGTTGTCCGTCGTTAACCTTTTTCTCGTTATTCGTTTCAGCCCGTACAGATTTCTTCAAGATTGGTGATTGGAAAAACTAGTGTACTTGCACTTAACCTCAACATAGCCTATTCCTGAGAAACATCAAACGGGATCGCTTTTAAAACAGACAGGCGTTATGAAAACCGTAAAGAAATAGAAAGTAGGACAAGCCTTGTTAATACAGTATGGGAAATAAAATATTTAGCTAAATAAAAGCGATTTGATGGGGGAAAAGCTCTAAAACACCACAAAATTTAACCCAAACCAACTTTTAAACCTAAAGACGTATGTTCAATATCATATGTATCCACTAGTGTTCAACATAACCAGAGTCTCATTTTTGCCTACTTACCAAATCAACTTAGAAGAAAGGAAAGAAGTTCCTCGTGGAAATGGTAAAGCGCATGCGGCCTGCGGACACCATTCCCAGGAACCATTGCGGTGAAGAACTTGGCCTCTTTATCCAAAAGAGGCAAATTCAATACGAAAATACGACGCGGGAAACAAATCGCTTGTGGTGAATGGGATCGGTGAATGGTGTATTTGAGGAAGGATGGCATCATTTATACCTTTAATGAAATCAAATACCACATTTTCATTCTGTAGAAATGAAAGTTTGCAAGTTTTAGAAAGAGCTGCATCGCAATTTAAAATAAATAGGAGCTGCAATGTTGTTTACAATCAAAGACATTACCATAGAAAAAGTATTTTACCTCCTCCACGTGTTTGTAATCAAAACAAATTGAGAAGAAAATGGATTTTACCAGAGCACCAGAAAAGATGTCTCCATGTCCATCCAGCAGTTGCAGAAGCACTTAGAAAGAAAGAGCCTGTGGTTGCTTTGGAGTCAACCATTATAACTCACGGGATGCCATATCCCGAAAACACAAAGTATGTGGATGGTATTTTTGTGAATTATGATCAAGGAGACTTCCTCCCTGCTCCACTGGTTTTCTGCCATTGCTCACCCTCCTTTGCACGTATCTGTTTCCTAAAATGAGAAAATATTAGGTGATTGATGTATATCATTCATATAGATAACAGATATATATAATGTTTACCATTGAAACTATAGAAATTCTGGTAAGCAAAATAGATAGCTACCAGAAAGTGGCGAAGGCAAGTTGTTGGTAGAGAAGCAGATGTAACTCAAAGAATTATTGCCTGGTTAATAATAAGAAGTTATCTGCATGCTGAAACTGATTATTTTCCTAATTTTTTAATATTTCTTTACTTTTCACAAAAACTACAATCTTGCCAAAAATTTGGAACACCTTGACTTGAGGGCATGCAAAATGACAAAGTCTACAACTAGGGTGTGGGGTTGTGGAAGGAAGAATTTAACAGAAAGGTCTTAGTTGTGCTAGAATTGTAGGTCCCTGAAATCTCTAATTTTTCATTTTATGTAAAATAGCAATATGGAGCATTATCATTTAAAAGTCCCATCTAGGATTAGGCCAATTTCTGTGTTCCAAGGCTTTTGGCTACTGGGTTGCAGTTTTTTCTCGATTGCAGCCACAATGACCCCATTACAATGGCCACCAGCATAGTTCCAGTTGTTTTATTTACAAAAAGATGTCTTACAATGTTTTTTATGCATTAATTTTCAATTAAGTTTCAATTTTTCAACTATTTGCAGAACTGCAATAGAGGTGGAGAGGATTGTTAAAGAGCAAAATGTTCTTCCAGCCACAGTTGGTGTTGTGAATGGGAAACTTATTGTTGGTAGGCTGTAACTTTAACTCTCTGTTTGTTTTGAAATTTTATGTCCTTGAAAATATCTACAAACTTGTATTAATGTCTATTTATAATAAAGGTATTATAATTATTTTCATAATATTATGTGTATTTTATGTGTATTTTATTGTATATTATGTGTATTTTCTGTTGTAAAAATGGAAGAAAATCATCATAGTAATTCACCCTCCAAAAGTTGCAACTCAGCTCCCTGATATTCCAGTTAAGGATAATTAAAAGGTTTTGATAAAGAGGTTAGCTTTAAGTGTACCTTGATATCAAATCAGAAAACGTTTACAATAACCTTAAATTGCGTTAAACAACTTAAATGCTTTATTTTTTTAATTTATTTTGATGAGTTCTTCTTCACACTGATTCAAAAGATACCCAGGCCCATAACTTTGTTTGGAAATAACTTTCATCAAGATCAAAGAAAACTTAACTTTTATGTTATAAGTTAATTTTAAAGTAGAGACCAACAAGATAAAATGCTCTAACATTCTTCATTTTCTGTTTGATTTTTTTCTATTCTTAGATCTAACTAGTTGCGCTTGAATACAATTCACCAAAAAAAATTTTGAAGGGAAAGGGGACAAGCCAATACTTTTGATATTGAAAACCTGAAGTCAAATTTCACTCTGGTTACAGGGCTGACTGAAGATGAAATTGAATTTCTTGGGAAACAAGACGATACAAGTCAAAGGCTAAAATTATCAAGAAGGGACCTTGCATATGGAATGAGCAAGGTAGTAATGAAACATATGTTAAAAAGTTTCTAATGATCAGGTGTAATGAGATGCTTTTTGTTTCCATTTCTTCATTCTACAAAAGTCGTTTTGAAATTAGAAATGCGTGCCATATCATTGAATAACTTAAAATACCCTCTCAGGGCATCTCAGGTGGAACAACTGTTTCTGGAACAATGGTAGCTGCTCACAAAGCAGGCATACCAATCTTTGTCACTGGTGGTATTGGAGGAGTTCATCGTGGAGCATCAGAATGTAAGTGAAAGCATGATAATTTCTCTCCTAAATGTTAAAAGTATTTTGAACATATATAAAGTATTTCAACACCCTAGTCATAATGGCTTCCAAAACATCAACAATTTTGCAAATCTTTAAATCAATGCCAAAATATTCCCTATATACAAAAACAAAAACATTAGAATACCAATTAAACTTTGAAAATTTAGTAAGTGTTTCAAAATTTTTGGAAGAACCATGGTTACATCAAAAAAATGGTGCAACTATAAACAAAACAATTGCGATGGCAAAAACAATAGAATTGAAGGACAAGATAAATTTAGAAAATTGTTGTATGCCATTTTTCTAATGTATCAAGAATTAAAAAAAAATCAAAACTAAAGGAACTGTCCAAAGGTCAAAGAGAAGTGGTGTTAAAAAGAAAATTGTTTAATGAGCCAATGGTGCAAGATAAGAGAGCAAATTAACAACGAAAAATCATTGCAATAAAAGTCAAAGCCATTAGTCACCTTTGCAGGTGTTGCAATACTTGTCTTGTTATGTAAAAATATATTCTTAGTATATTCAAATCTCATTCTATAAAATATTGAAACAACAATATTACTCAAAGAAAACACCTTTTGTAAACGTTTTTATATCTACTTGATTATTTTATCATTTTCTAAATTTGAGTGCCTATAAAATATTAAGCTTATAAGAACAGAGACAGACGCAATCGCTTCTCAGCCTTTTAGCATTTTCCAAATTAGTGGTCAAAATCAGCCTTTTAGCATTTTCCAAATTAATGGTCAAAATACTGTCATTCCATAATTATACATTTAAGGGGTTTTCATAAAAAACAATTATTGAGATAATATGTTATTGTTGAAAACTCGTCTTCTTGTGTAACTATTTCAAAGTTTTTAGGCAGTTAAGGTAAGACTTGTTTTGTATTCATAGCTTTTGATGTGAGTGCTGACTTGACAGAGCTTGGTAGAACCCCAATGGCTGTCATTTGTGCTGGCATTAAATCAATCCTTGATATTGGTCTTACATTAGAGTATTTAGTAAGTATTTAAGTCTTTCCATCTTTTGGCTTTGGGTTAAATGTTTCTTTGAATGCTTCAAACAATGCTTGAATAAAGTGATTGATATGACTCAGAAATGACCATGGATAACTTAATTGCATGTAACAATGGTAGGTAGATGCAAATTTCCATGCAAACTAAAACAACTCAATGCCCTGATAGAAGTGTTTTTCATAAGGTCAAGAATTATTGACTGCTTAACTATATTGGCTCAACTTTGCAAAGAACAAGTCTTCCTTTTTTGTTTCATTCTGATCTTTGATATCATTACTGTTTCTGTAAAATTGAAACTTTGTGTCTGTTCTTTAGAGTATATTGTCAAAAATTTAAATCTTTCAAATCTTATTCCGTTTGTGCTTTGTTTGAATGCTGTCTGTAAATTCAACATGTTTTTAGGAAACACAGGGTGTACCAGTTGTAGCATATGGTAAAAATAGAGAGTTTCCTGCATTCTTTACAGCTAAGAGTGGCTTCAAGGTAATTTCAAAATATTTTAGAACTGCTTTAAATCAATTGCTACTTTACAATGATTTTTCTATTTATGAACAAAGATTTTTTATCAGGCTTTCTGTTGTAATACAAAAAGCAAGAGAAGCCATTTGTGATATAAATTTGACTTGAACTTCCATTTTTTAGGCTCCGTACAATTTTGAAAAACCATATGACGTTGCAAGAATGATCGGTAGTTATTGTGTTTTAATTCTTTGCCCTTGTAGTATTTCCCATCCTCTTGTGATTGTTATGATATATCTAACAATAAGATATGAGTTAGAACCAGATAATTACTGCTAAAAGCATGGTGCCTTTCTACCCATTGTAACTTGGATAAAGATGTTAAGATGCTAAAAACTAGCTGTCATTTCGTGCTCTTATTTCTAGACTAGATTTCAATGTTTCCTTTATTCTTATAAAAAGTTTTCATCCCTGCATCACGATACCAAGGTTAAGCTCAGATATTCACTCTTAATCTATAATTTCTCCTCCGCATAGAAAAAAGCCTTTCATTACAACTAAACAGCGGAATGGTCATTGGAGTCCCAATTATTGAAGAGGAAAGTCCACTGGGGCAGGAAATAGAAGGTGCAATCCAATTAGCCCTGAGAGAAGCACAGTAATTGTCTCCCTATTATACCCTTCTTATTTTTCACAAATTAATGGCCTTCACAAGAATTGTGGACCATAGAAAATTGTTCATGGTTGATGCTATACCCATGGTTGTGGATTTGAAAATTGCAAAATAGGTAAAGATGCTGCATTGTTGCACATTAATCTCAGAACTATCACTGATGTTGGCTGTTCTTTGTCAAAGAGGAGATCTAGAAGAGGCTATGATAAAACTATTCAGGTGACACTGAAGATACCAACAAGACTTTAACTTGTATCAAATTCACAAACATCTACACTGCATTAATCTGCCTCCTAATCGTCTCAAAGCCAAACAAAGTTTCAATATCCTGTTTACCTACATCCCTGCATCAATTACTAACTATAGCCTTAAGTCTAGTGTGTTTAACTTTTAGTCTTCAATGTACACTTCTAGTTTGGCACATTGCTAAAACTCAGTTCCCATTTCATGCTTTTGTTTTCTCGACAAATATATAAAATGGAATCATCCAATGCCATAATTTAGCTCAATTTTCCATTGTATTTCAATCTTACCTGCGAGATTTAATTTGTCATCCTGTGTCCAACTGTTGTGGGGGAATTTTTTCAATGCATTTCATTCTCTCCTAGGCAGAAGAATATATCTGGTAAAGATGTAACACCATTCATTCTAGACAGGGTTAACCAACTAACTGATGGAAGATCACTGCAAGCAAGTATCCTCTTCTTCAAACTGTCATGCTTGATATCAAAATCAATCCTTTCAATTACAAAATAAATACTTTTATCAGTTGGCCTTTACCAGCAGTATCTATTTCACAACATCTATTTATTTTTTACGTGCAATCTCAAAAAATAGTTTGTGCAACCTCTCTAACAACCTCTCTAAAAGAAAATCTGAATCATTTTTTGCAATTATCCATAAAGATCAATTTCTATTAAAATTCCCTTTAATTCTAACATCAGTTTAAATTCACAATGTTTTATTTCTTTCCTTTTTATTTCTTTAATTTTAAATTAAAATATTTTGACAACTGTTTATTTTGTTGAGCAGCATGGAAACAATTTATCTTTGTATTCTCATCGAATTTTCCCTAGAGATTCAGACTTTATTCAACCTTAAATATGGCTAGATATTTCTTTGATAAAAAATAATGCTTATGTTGGGGCCAGGATAGCAGCAGAGCTCTCAAGCATCCAGAAGGTGAATGAAAATGACTTCATTGGCAGTAGCAGTGAACCATCTGTAAGAATCAATCAGCCTCATTTTAAATATCATTCTTTAGAAATTGGGGTAATTTTATTGTTGTTTGAAAATATATATGTAATTAATCAAGAAAGCTGAGTATAAGCTTGCTATCAGTCAACAACAGCAAAAACCCTTGAAAAGGTTTCTCTATTCAACTGTATATATATTCTAAGTCATGAAATGTTTGGCTAAGAAATATCCCCAGGTAAGATGGTTATTAACAAGAAATTATTTGCTCTTAACAAAATGTTTGAAAAAGTTTGGTTAGTAACAGTATGTTTATATATTTATTACATTCCACTTCTTGACACAAAACAGTCGAATTTTTCAAGCTTTTTTCATGCTCTCTCTTTGCCTTAGCTTGCAACTAACTAGTATTGTTATTGTATTTTTCATTTCTAGTCTTCTGGGATGCCATTTGTCAGTCATTCAAACAAAACTTCCTCTGTCAGCACTGAAACTCCTAACAATATCAAGAGACCAGTAAGTTTGATTAATTGCTTTGCCTCTTCCAAACTCTAATTTCTAAGATCCGAAAGTTCCATTTCTTTTTATTGATAAAACGAAGAAAAAGCAATGCAAGACTGTGAAAAATGTAACAAGAATCCATTATGCATGCCATGGCTGAAAACATGGCAAGTATGATCATGCCAAAAGCAGGCCATGTGAGGAGCAAAAAGTAGATGCTTGACAAACTGAGCACCTTTAATTTTCTAGGCCCTCGATTGAGCATCATCAAATATCATCAAAAACAAAATTTGATTTTTTGTATTTAATTTTTTGAGACCATAAACACGCTAGGTGCCCGATCAATTAAGCTCCTAGAACTTTCTATGTGTGTGTGGAGGCCCTTGATCAAACTTGAGCACCTCTCCTTGCGAGGCCTGGCCTGAAGGTCAAGATATCGAACATGACAATTACAGAGAAACCAAAAGGGCAATACAATGTAAGGATAGAAACATAGGCAAATACCCAATGGAATACACCCTGCATACTTTTTGTCAGCCCTCAAGAACTTGCAAATTGTCATAAACATATTGTCAGAAACAAACAAGAAAAGATTGGCATCATGGAAAAACCAGAGCCAAGGACCCTTAGACTTTCAAGATTTTACAGGAAAAAGGTTTCAGCTGAGGATATATTTTTACAAGGGAAATTTTTTACAGCAAAGACAGTCTCATTAAAAGTTGAGTATAGCTAGGAATTTAAATGAAATCTGCATGTGATACTCATCTGTACATACCCAGCTTTTTGGCCTTTGTCAAGATTGTACCTTCTCTGAAACTTTTTTGAGCTGTTTATGCCTTTGATGGTATTGACACAGTCATTCAAATTCAACCACTGAGGGGCACTTCACTTGTGGTCGAGGACTGGATGTATTTTATTTAGAATTTTGACTTCAGATTTTTACTCTGTATGGCTTTTTCTTTGTAAAGTGTCTTCTGGTTAGTCTGATTCTCATTTTTGCTTTGGGATTCTTTGCTTATTAGTCTATGCTTTGCTTCAGTATTTAATAAAAGTTATCTTTACTTATATAAAATTCAGTATATATTTTAAGCTATTCATTTTCAATCTTTTACTCTTTTATTTACTTTACAGAAATATTTAATCTTAGTTTTTCTCAATTAACAGGTTATAATAGGTGGCTGCAACTTTGATCTGCTAGCAGTGACTGATTCATATGATGTTTTGGTGTGTATTTTTGACAATGCTTGAAAATGACTTAATTTTTTTTATTAAGAATAGACCTATTGATTGTTAATCAATTTTTTAGAAGCACCTTCTTTAAGAACATACAGTCTTTTTCATCTTTTTGAATAACCAAAGCTTTAGAAAATTGTCAAAATCTTTAAATCTAAAACATGGATTAGTTGCCTAAAGCTTTAACTGGCTAAAATCTTAAAAAACAAGTATATTAAACAAAACAGTACATAAAACATTACAAAGTGACAAATAGCTTTACTTTTCCAACTTCTCTTTACACTTTGCTTTAGTGTATGGACATTTTGGCCCATTTAAATGAAAACTTGCATTCCATGCTGGGCATAGTCTGAAAGCATGCGATTGTTACAATGTATTAAAAGTTTCACATTATTTTGGTTGTCTTTTAAAAGCAAACATTTTTGGACAAAAGTGGTGGTTTTTAAACTTTCTGGATTATAAATTTCTTTATTGAGAACTAATATTTCATTTTCTTAGATTCTTTATCTCACAGGCTGAAGTTACAAACACGGGAAAACTATTTCAAACATTCGGCGGAGTTGCAAGAAATATTGCTGGTAAAGAAAAACCTTAATACTAAGATGATGTCTAGATATTGACAGTGATGCAGACGTTCCTGGAAAATGTGATTTTGTTTCTTGGATCTATTTATTGGAGTCATTTCATTTAGAGAATTGGCTGTATCATATTATACCTGTATTGCATTAAACCAAAAGTGAACCTGTATCACATTTTGCATAGTAGAATATACTGTGTTTTGGCCTGCCTTATTAAAAAATACGGTCAGAAAACATTGACCAAAATTTCAACTTAACATAAAAAGCTAATTTAATCACCTTTCTCTCAAGCTTGAACTATATAGCCTGACTGCCTTTCAGAATGTCTGGCAAGATTGGATCACAATCCACTGCTGATATCTGCTATTGGACAAGATGCTCCCGGTGCTATGGTCATGGATCATCTGAAACAATTAAACATGGTGAGTTCCACAGTCATAATTTTGTTCACTGACATATGCTTGACTAACAGTCTAACACAGTGTTTAATTGCTAACTATCTTTTTATTTTCAGGACACTCAAGGGGTAATGATGACATCAGAATACTCCACTGCAAGTTACTCTGCAATAATGAACAATGGAGGTGAATTACTTCTTGGGGTTGGAGATATGGATATACATGATCAAATAACACCAGACTATGTAAGTTCTTAGTCAAATATACATGCAATGCTGCTTACAAGATCGAGACAGTATTTGTATCCAATGCAGCTGAAACTGTATCAAGATGGAACATATTTCAAATTGTCTATAATCCATTATGTTGTTTGGATTTGAAGGTTGCAGCTATCGAAGAACAGTTTTAGGGCTATAAAAACATTCACATATTCCGTATGCATCTGTATTCATTTAGAGATCTCTTCAATTGGGTGACCTCTAAGTAGGGCTGTGATTTCTGCTGATTTGTACTGGTTTCTTTAAATAACATAAACTTTAAAATACTGCAGCAAATCGCTTGAAAAACCTGAACTTTAGCTTTCTTGAAATAACAATTTGTTTTAAGAAACTGATTTTGGTATGACAAATCAGAAGGTCTTATTTTAAAGCATTTTCCTTTAACTATCCATTGTCATAAAAAACACCCTCTATTGCTAGCCATCATTGAACAAGTTCGTCATCAAAATATACCATTTAAATAAGATCCTAAAATAAGAATATTTGACCCCTAATATTCCAATTGCATCTTTAAAACTAATCAAAGATCAGCCTGACTCTAAAAGGCAGGTTTTTATTTACAGGAGTTCATCTTTTTATATTTGACTATGATGAATTCTTGAGTTTCACATCTTTTCCTCAGTTTATCATCACACCATACTCACAAAGTATTCCCTACAGTTTTGATGTCCATTTACTATAGATTCAGGACTTCGAAGAGGATATAAAAAGTGCACCGATTGTCCTGATAGATGGCAACCTTACGACACAAGCAATAGAATATGTGCTTGGTATATGCAACACTCACCAAGTTCCAGGTATCAAAGTAGACCAACTAGGGGACTGTAAGGGTGTTCTGTATGGTTTTATGGCCTTTTCAAGTATCTGTCTTTCCAGGAAATCTTTGGATATTAACTGTATCCAGACATTGGCATTAAAAGAAGACATCAAAAGTGTTTTCTGGAACCAAATTTTGAACAGGGCCAAAAATTCTTTTTCAAATTCACAGATTTTGTCATTCTGCACAATAAGAGGTTCACCTAATCATATCATTTGTGAAGTGTATAGTCGATATCAGGTGGCTGAATCTTAAATAATGATGAATATTAATTACTAGTTTTGGATTTCCTTAATGGATTCTGTTACTTACATTAAAATGTTGCAATGAACCATTTACTTGGTTTGCTTCAATACTCAATGTGCTTTTTCCAACATCGGGAAACCAGCAATGACACTTTCTTTCTTATGCCAGATGCTAGAGTTGCTGAAAAGCAAATAATAAATATGTGATCTCTCGCATTCTATTGTTTTGATTATCCACTAGATATTACAGGATGAAAAATATTACATATTTATTGACAATCCATTCGAAGGCAAATAAATGGAACTACCAAATAACTCTGAATAAGAACAACTAATGTTACTTTAATCAGAACAGGGTATGGGAGCACCTTCGAAAATCTGATACTGTCACTGCAAATAAAGGATACTTTGTATCTCTAGGTTGTATTTAGAAAATTGAATGAACAACAGAAAATATAAAGTTAATAATTAGCAGTTAGTTTGTAAAAATGCTTGTAAGTCAAATTATTCTTGGTGATGAATCATTTTGTCTGTTCTAGTCTGGTACGAACCGGCTGATATCTCAAAAGCAAGAAAACCATTCACTACTGCCGACTACAATGCTATAACCTATATTTCACCGAATAAACGCGAGCTACAAGCCATCCATGCGACAATCACAAAGAGGCAAGAAGGCATGATGAACTTCAACAGTGAAGGTCCGTTTGATTTCGAGGGGCCGACGGAGGATCAGATAATCCAAATGTGCATCAGGATTGGTCGTAATATCTTAGGAAGTGTTAACTGTATAATAATAACTCTTGGTCGATTCGGTGTATTGGTTTTACGGAATGAAGGTTGTAATGATCCCTTCCCTCTAAAGGGTCAGGTGGCTGATAAAAAGCATACATCAAGCGTTATATCTGCTACACATTATCCGTCAGTAGGTGAAGATCTTTTGCCAAGGAAAGACATCAAATCGGTATCTGGTGCGGGTGACTGGTAAGTTGAGACTATACCTGGCTATGGTTTAAACCTGGTATGTCATGCTTTGCAAAGTGCAGTTGTTCCCTGCAATCGTAAAAACTGAATTTCAGTACAGTGAGTTCAAGAAACATTCACGTCTTATGCAAAATTAGATAGTTTTTGAATTATCTCACCCCATAATCTGAACTGAAGAACATGGGGCTTAACCCCTTTTAGATGGTCTGGATCCATTTGTAAAAGTTCTGTTCAACATCGTTACCATAAAATATTAAGATGTTAAGATGTGGTATTTTTGTGCATACCCCGCTCGTCTACATACCCTAGAGCCAATTCAATGCAGCTGTGTTCTGTGCTTAAAAATACATTATTTTCAAGCTGGTCAATGCCAAATTCACCGTTAAATGCAAGGATCAATTTATTTTGAATATCAAGTGGATTATTCTCTCCAAATCCCTGCTCCCCTTTTTGCATTGTTGTTGCCATTCGTCAATATTTACATCAAGTTCCCTTCCTCCACAGCCTCGCTGGAGCAATGCTTGCAAGCATCCTTCGCGGCGACGAACCTCACACTTGCGTTAAAGCCGGCCTGCATGCCGCATTTCTTTCTCTTCAGACTCACGAAGCGGTCTCAGATCAGATCGATGCAGCCAGATTCTCTGTGCAAAGTATCGAAGATTGGATGACATGGTCGTACAGAGATATTGCCGTTTAATATTTAATTAATTTGTATTTAGTTAATACCATTGACTATTTAACTTGGCATTTAAAATGATCTGTGGATCCCTCCACAAAACTGCCAGCTGTATTCCCAATACATTACTAAGTTTTTCTGCTGCCAGAACAATAATGATAAATAATAAAGTGACAATAAAAAGAAGTCCCCCCTCCCTCTAAGTAGGGAACTGGAACTGACGCATGTTTATCTAAATAAAACACACAACGGAAACTCTCTAAGCTATAGGAATGTATTGTGAAGCTGATTCTTTAAAAAGGAATTGTGCATCTTTTTCATACCTGAAATAGCCGCGCTGCCTTAAGTCCCTAAGCATGGTATATACTGCTATACATGAAAACCTGCTATGCGCACGTCTTCGTTTAGCGATATTTTGCTCAGCCTGAAGCATCGCGGGAGTTGGGTAAGACCTACCCTGGGTGCCAGAGCCTCAGAGAGTCAAACCATGAAGAACGGGGAAAGGAATTGCGATTGACTCTCTGAGGCTCTAGCACCCTGGGTTGGTAAGACCAAGATTTAGACTCAAGGTATGTCCACACCCAAGCCAATAGTTAGCTAGTACACTTTGCTTCCCCAGAAATGCATAATGTTGTGGACTTTTCGGGTCTTGACGGTATATCTCATCAATATCTCATTTAGAATCTTTTTAAACGAATTTAAATGATTTGCTTAAAAGGACATTTGTATGCAGTACATTTTTATTTATTTTTTAACTTGTATTCTCGTTTTATATATACATGAATTATCTTTTTGCACTCCAGAGACTGGACAAACTTTAACTTAAGTACCAAATAAAAATTTTCAAAATCACAAATGATTTATCTCAATATAACGAAACAGGTTGCCATATATTTCTCCTTTCTAGATTTTCCCTTTAAATTAACAATGTTTTGTCTAGAAAGACACAAAGCATCTCAGTCTCGTTAAAACGTTTCTCGGCCTAGCCACGCGTCGATAACTTCAACCTATTTAGAGCTGGGCATACGAACCCGGTAAAAAAGAAGGCTGCTTGTTCTAAGATGAACAATTTTTCTTTAGTGGTTTCATATTCTTATGAAATAGGAAAATGAAGTCATTTATTGAAATGAAATCCCAACAGCAATGGCCATTCCAAAAGGATTGTCTTTCCTTTACGCAATTGACTTTGATTCTGCTAGTGAAACAATTTGTTCAGCTGTCTTGAACTACCATGTTCTCCTAGCAATTTAACCCCATTCCCTACTAAAACAGCATTTGACTCCGCAACAGTTTTTTGTCGTATATTTCCTGCAGTATTTATCAGAAATTAAAACATTACAAGAACATATTTTTAATGCAGCACAGTACTGTCTCCATTTGTATTTTGCTATCAACCTTAAATGAAGGATTGCATTAAATATTTATTTTGATCTACAATGCATTTTTACGTATCGACTGTGGATAAATACGTTGATGTGTAGACAGGCGGTCAGCCTATAGCCACATTTTTAAGCACACGAAAATGTGCTATGTAATTCTAGATTTTGAAAGGATTTTCTCTAAGATGCGCAAAAGACTCTGTTACGTAGAGATGGGGCTAGTAAGAGAATTGACATACTGGTAGGGAATCGACTTTCTGCCTGTTCTTACTCCTTAGAACTTATAAAGAACCATAATGATTAATTTGAGACTATCCGATCGATGTGTCTCCTGAAACGTGAAAGCTTGTGTATAGCACTACGTTACTAATGATAAGATTATAAGATTGAGAACTTCTATGGCACTCAGGAAGTCTCGCCAAACTCAATCATGCCTCAAAACTCGAAGCATTTGTTCACAATCATTTTGCTGTAAAACATATAACCAAAGAATATAATTACAAGAATTTTCGAATGTAGAAGCAAGTTATTGTTATAACTCTTTGGTGTAACTGCTACACTTAACCTTTCATGGGACCTTCTTACCACTCGCAGCCCCCAGTCGTCATTAAGTGAAAACCGCTAAATTATGCAATACCAAAGTAATGTATTATTGGACCTTAAGCTGGGACAAGTGGTAATTTCCACCAAACCGATGTATTCGAAGGAATGATTCGCACCGTTTTATGCTATTCGTGCAAGTAGAGTTGCAATTAGTTATGTATTTAAATAGAAATTTTTCACATTCGATGGCCTACTGACAAATTATAGATGCACAACATTGAAATTAGGATGAAATTTGTCTTTTATATCCTACTTCTTAACTTTGAAGGGAAAGGTTGAACGCGTGAATATAAGAAAAGGAGATTTTGCTTGTGATATTGTGAAGAGGGGAAGCATTTTATCTTTATATTGAAGGCCTTTAAAAATAAGTCATTAAATTTGAACAGTATTTTTTAGATATGAAAACTGAATTGGGATGAGGGATGGGACGCTTGTTGCAGAAAAAGATGAAAACCTCTGTATCACTAGTCGCGTCGGTTTATTTAAAAAAAACTGGGAAGGATGAAGCGCTATTGAATTTGGAAACTACCTTCTTTAATCGCGATCAACTGTCTTGATAATGAAATGACATTGCAAACAAATGTTTATGTTCTAAGAGATAAGGACAACAGTTCTAAATGAGGAAATGACCCTCTCTTCATCAAATTGTTCAAGAACGATTGAATGAAATGACTGCATTTGGTGAACTCTCTATCAATGGAGGCAATCTCATCCACTTTCACTTTAGTCAAACCAAGATCCCAGTTGCTTTGAAAATTCAGACATAAATTCAAGATCCTCGTAATGGCTTCCTTTGCAAAACCAACCTTTGGACTAAGCAGGCAGCGATCGTAAACTTTTTCAAGAAAGTCAAGATGGATTGTGACAATCTCATCAAAGTCTTTAGCTTCCGATACTTGCGCTTTGAATTCTAAACCGGAACTATGAAGTATTCGAGTCATAATGTAAACATGAAAACTCTGGACAAAATGAAGAAGTTTCATTCTAAGAACGTACATTTTCTGTCGTACAGCGGTTGCTGGCTGCTGTTGCTCCAGTGCAGTGCTTGTTGCCTCTGGATTTACAAAATCATCTTGCGTGTCATCCCGCGCGTCACCCCGCCAGAGTTCCGCTATTCTCAGCTGCTCCAACGACCAAACTGCACGCTTCACTTGCAACAGAAAACAGAAGATGGCATTATACTTCTCCTCCGCCTTGCTATCAAAGATAATCGTTAATGGCCAGTCCATTTCATAGTGTAGGTAAATACTTGCAGCGGACTGCACACCAACAACATTTGTCAAAATCCCGCGGGCATCACTTTTGATTCCTGCGGTTAATCTATCTACAAGGCTTGGAAAACGTAGCTGCAACGCATCGTGTAGCACACTCGTAAGGTACGAAGTGCTTTGCCAGAATTCCTTGCGTCGTATTTTAGTAAAAATCTCTGAATAGAATGAGCTCATGACGTCACCCGCTTCCATCAGGAAGAAATTTTTAATGATCCCAAAATGATGCATGAATCTGAATTCATCTTTGAGTAGGCCCAGCAGAGCATTCGAAGCTTGTGAATATCTTGCGTCGATTAGAGACTGCAAGCTTGATTTGAAAATTTCACTGAAGGGTTGTCGACAGGAAGCCTTTCTGGACATGTCAAATCGTGATTGTTCTATTGTACTCTGAAAATTGTCATATAAAGCTTGGTGATTCTCTCCCGAATTAATAAATCTTTGATAATTCCTCTGGAATATGATAGAAAAGTTTTCTTCCAAAAGCTGGCTAAAGCCATTATTAAGCATCACAGTATTCCTTTCTACCATAAGTACTTCTTCGAATTCCACCTTGTCTTCCATTTCGTGGTTTTTGCAGGAAATTCCAAGACCTTCCATCAAACTCTCAAAAAGCTCTGTTTCAAAGACAAGAGAAAACTTATCAGTAAAGCTTTTTCCAGCCCGCTCCAGCACTCTACAAGATTTTCCAGTCAGCAAAATTTTGTCAGTCAAACCAGCAAGGAATTGTGGGATAGCAAGTTGGGTGTCATCATCTTGGCATCGCCGGATGCGAAATTGCTGTTTCCAAGCCGTACAGTCATCTTCACTTGCAATTTCATCTTCGCAAACAAAAAACTCCTCACCTCCAACGATTGGGAGCTTTCCACTTGAAATCCAAACCGCTAAATCACTCAAAAATGGGCGAATGGTTTCTAAAAATATAGGTATCGAAGCACATACTTGAAATGAGCCTGCACTTCCAAATGCATCAAGATTACAAACGGTGTTGAACAAGGAATCAATCACATGTACCAAACATTCGTTGGGCGCCATCTCTGAGCCTCTAGCCATCCCCAAGCTGCTTTTGTACATCTCATACACTAAATCGACATCAGACAATAGGGATCCCACAGCCTGCTCTAATGTTAAAATAGTGTACACTTCGTTTTTTGAAACAATTTTGCATTCAATACTCCCAAGATCTTTCCTTGTTTTCTTTAGAAAACAATTAACTGCATAGCCAAAAGCTCTTATTATCTTCATATTTTTCTTTTTTAAGTCCAATGCATCAGCAACAAAGATTTTAAGCTCTTGAACCTTGTTTCCTGCTGCCGCGAATTGTCCCAGACTATTTTTCAAGGCCTTTTGGCTCATATGACTCAAGCAGATATCTTCTCTTATGAAGTAGTTGTTGTCAACATATCTAGAAGGAGAACATTGAAAAGGAAATGTGCTACATTGTAGACGACGCTTGAAAATAAAAAGCCAAGAAATCTTCAACTATAAACAACACTTTTATTTCACAAAAAAGGCTACATCAACAGCTTTCCAGAATCTAGCACTGTCGAAAGCTCCAAACAACTTCTCTGGACGATGCCAACCTAGGAATCGCAACTGTGAAGGAACAACTAAAGGCATTCATCTCTATTCACTTTAAAATGGGGTTTTTAAACTAAACGACATTATTCCATGTAAGCTTGCTAAAAAATTCTAGATTTGTTATCTTGACATGAAATAGTTTTATTATTAGGAAAAGTTAAAGTTGGAGGCTGCAAAATGTGTTCTCTGCCATCAAAGCTTTTTGATCAGAATGCAAATGTCATAAAATTATTATATATAACAATAGGCAGTCATTTAAAATACAGGGGTTTAACCCACATAAATTAACTTGTGCGACAAACAACTAGCACAATAGGCGTGGGGCGTGCAAAACAGAGTCTGATGTAACCGTACAAAACTTCTCGTTTTTTGAAAACTTCTCAGTCCATCTTAAATTTTGACCCCATTTGCACTGATTGGGAAACTCGCCTGATGCATGAAGGGCTTTGAAAAGCAGTTCCAGACATAAACTTTAAAACTGTTCAACTCCTGGAGTACCACATAAAGATAGTTTTATCCCTATCTCTATGGGGGTACCATCACCTAATTAAACCCGGAAATGGCACGAGGTTCCAGGAATTGTGATTTATTACTCTAGCAGGACTCTAGATGCCATGCTTTCAATGAGTTTTCGGCCAAAGTTAAAAACTAAATCTTCACAGAGTTCTTAAATAGTTTTGAAAATCCATCGACGTCATCATATCACATTTATACACAAAAAACCTATCAGCTACTAGTTTTTGAACTACACGAAAATGCTCATTATATTTGCATCTAATGGTGAAGAAAGCAAAAGAAAAAAAGAGACTAGAAAAGTATGGATTTGCTGGTCTTCCTAGGGATCATGCTTCGGGAAGTATGCTAATTTTGTAGGAAATCCTTAAGTTTCCTTTTGAATGTGGGACTTGCTCTAATTTGCAATGGGATGTTATTCCAAGTCTTTACTTCAGAAGAAAAAAAATATTTTCGGAGAACTCTAGGTTCAACCTTGGCATGTCCAGATCTAACTGATTTCTTGTTGAGTAGTTCGATAACAGAGGTCTGGGAACAAGTCTCACTTTTAGACTGTCCGGGCAGAGACCATTCACTACTTTATAGATTATTACTGCTCTGTCATATTGCATTATATTTGAGACTGACAGCCAATTACATCTCCACCCATCCTTTAACCTAGAGTTCTCTATCTAAGTTTTAACTCTAGTTTGTAGACGTTGAAGATGTTGGAGCTTTGTATTCGATAAATTGCCCCATAGTTCGTCATTGTATCAGATTACTCTCAAACAGTGCCTTATACACATGATCAAGTTTAGATTGAGTTGGTAGCTATATTCTTAAGTTTCTGGAGGGACGAGATTGCAGCTTTAATTCTACATTTTAGCTTTTTATAATGCTCATTTCATGTTAGGTTTTTGTCCACAGTAATTCCTAGGTACTTGACTTTCTTGTCTTTCTTGATTTATTCTCCTTTCATGCTTATGTCTATTGGTCTATGTTTGGTGTGTCGTTTGTGACCCAATACCATAAACTCCATTTTATCAGTGTTGAAACTTATTCTGCCATAACCATTTTGCAATATATTCAACCTCAGCTTTTGAATCATTTGAGTGTTCGTCGATATCTTAGGCAGAACATGTCACACTGGTATCATCCGTGTACATATTTGAGGTGCATTTTTTGAGGCACTATACTATCTGTATTGCCTGATGCCATCTGTATTGCTCTATCAAACAGTTGCCTTTTCAAGAACATTCAGTGCCTTGTTAGTAGGAATATCATCCATTAAAACCTCATCAGAACAAATACCATTCTCTTGCCAGTTTCCCTTCCACTGCTAGGCAGTACAACAGCTCTCTTCTACGTCTCTATCCTTCCAGCATGCAGCACGTAATTTCCTTTAAGACCTTTTACCAAGACAGAAATGTGTGGGTAATCGTAGGCTACCCCTTTCAAGGGATTGCCAGTTGGGTGCACGAGTACAACTTGTTAACCATGGCCCCATCATGTATGTAGTGCATATTGAGCCCATCACTCCAGCATTCAGCCAGCACCATGCCCTTCAACACTTTCATTCACTTTCATCTTTCTCTTTTATCAACCACCTTTCCAAAACCTTTTTCATTAAAATAAGCATACTGCATGGATCTTATGAATACAAATTCCAACAAAAAATAATAGGCCTGCCTATCTTATCTTAAATTTAGCCTGGCAAGTTTGCAATCTCAAAATTTTATTCTGAGCAGCTTTTAAAAACACATGCTATTATAAAGTTGAAAACTCAGTGACTTCAAAGAAAATTGACATTTTTTTCTGGCCCGGCACTCAAAGTTATTAAGAAACCCTGGTTTAGGACTTTTCTCAATAATGGGAAATTCCAATAATGAAATAGAATTTGTTAAAAATGTTCAACAGTATGTCAGCATTGCTTCCCATCATGTTATTAAAAGCATATTCAATTTTGTTTATCATATGTATATATCAGAAATTTGTCAAAAAAGTTATTGCTGGCTGATTACATGAGATGTAGACTTATAAGAAGCACAGTTGTCTTAAAGGGCCCCTATTTATGGGCATTATGATACATAATCTCCCTGTATTGTAGTAGCCGTGTATTTGTGTCTATGATACATCATTAGTTATTGTGCAAGCTTAATTAATATCAGAAAATGCTAAAATATAACAAAATAGGCCTGTCTATCTTGTGTGGCATAGATGTGGTACAAATCACAACATGGCTTCTTTTCTTTCAGTTAGATGTGGAACAATGCCCAATCAAATAGTTTCCCTTGCAAAAAATGTTATCCTTTAGAAATGAACATAACCAGCACCCCTACCCCCACCCCCCTTACCACCAAAATTACAGTGAAAAGTTATTTTGAGAAAAAATATTCAAAAGTCTCTGTAAGGCATACAGCTGTAACCATCAGAGGTTGGTAGATTCTATGCATTGCTTTGCAATAAAAATCAGGGATTTCATTAGAAGTTGGTAACCTGCAAAAATTTGCTGCTTACTTACAAAACCTTCCTCTCCTCCTTTCTACATCACTTCAGTAAGACACCTACTTTTAAAGATGAGCTTTCTACTTCAAAAATGTAAAGAAATTAAAGCATGTTTCAAAACATATAATGTTTGAATACCTGTATACGTATGTTGTTTTTATTCCTTGCAACATCCAAAGTGTTTCTCTTACAACTGCATTTTCTGTGAGGTAATTTACCATTCTGGAGTCCTGAGGCATTACCTTAAATGCACTCATAACCTGGTCCTCATTATCAAAACCAACTTTGTCTTGTAGCATTGGCAGGTATGCAGTTTCTCCTTTCCAGTACTGAGTGGTAATGTTTCTTTGGAGCCATTGAACATCTCCTCGTTCTGGGTCACATTCTATAATATTAATATAAACTTCATTAACTGAAAGAAGCTAGGATGACAAAAATGGTTGAAAAATTAGTAAAATGTCTCTTTTAGATTTAGGTTATTTTTGTACCTTAGAAAATTTACAATGAATACCAAAAATTCCATTAGGATTTATTTTCGGTGAATCAAAGTAAGCAAAAATTAATCCCACTGAATTATTTTGTAACTAGAATTTTTTCTTATTAAAATTTTCAAACACTAGAAAAATCTTGTTTTACACCGATAGAATTTCAAAGTAACAAAAAACATTCCTTGCTATTTGGCCTGTACTACTTTCCATCTACACAAATCAATGTTCAGTTTTTGGTTCTCCATTGACATCAACAAATAAGATAACCAGCTCATTTTCAATTTATTCTCTTTCGCCATCTACATCCAAGAAATTTGAGTTCTTGATGGGCTGAACAGATGCCTCTACCAACTCTTCATAATTTCACTCAACCTTTTTTCTTTAACACTCCAGTGGGTTCATTTTGGAAGCCTAAATCACAACTGATGCTTTGTTCCAATTTGCAATAAAAATTATTGCGAACTAAAGAAACTTCAAATCAATTTTCTTCCATGGTTTATAAAAAATGAAATAAACAGACCTTTACAAAATAAGAATTTATATTTCTGCCTACTCTTCAATTCTATTTCTTGGGTTGACAACAAAATATTTGATTTTTATAACTTTTATGATTGCGTTCCAGATAATTGTATGTTGAAGATAAAAATAAACCTTACAGAAGGTTTTTCATTTTCTATATTCACCAAAATTATTCTTTCCAACAAAATTTTTCAAATTCTCACCAAAATTTCAAAAATGTATCACACAGTGACTTGGTCCTTTCCCGCAATGTGAGAACACCTTTCAATTTATACACCTGAAATTACTAGAAAGAGCTCCAGACAAGAAACCTTTTCGTGCACTTGCAATACATTGCCAGCCCACTCAAATTTTCCATCCAAATGATTTTGCATATTGGCTGTTCAAAGTCCCTATATAATAATATTCTACATTATTCTAAATGTGCCTGGTTTCAGACACGCAATTGCAACTTTTCAAAATGAACTTGTCAGTGCAAGAAACAAAGTTTTAAGTCTGGAAAGATCTGGTAACTATTTTAATACCAAATGTAAGTTTGGTCATTGCAGGGACACAAACTCCAGCCCTTGGATTTTTTAGCCTGTGACTCTAACCACTGAGCCATCCTCATTGAGACAATAAATGTTTACCTGATGTTCGATAAGAGGCTTCTACATCAGATATTGTACTCTCTACAGGCTCCAATATTCTATCCAGTTTCTGGTCACTTTCAGCAATATCAAAATGATCATCGTCTTCATCTGTCTCTTCTAAAGCCAATCTTTGTTCTTCACTTATATCAATACCAAGCTCAAGCTTCTCTTCTCCTGACAAAAGATACTCTTTCCAATCTATGCTTTCTTCCAATAGTACGGAGTCATTTCTCGTTTCTGAAAACTCACCACAGTTCACTGGCGATTGTGAAAGACACAGCAACAGTGATAAAATTCCAAAGTGGTATTCCGTATTTGCTTCAAATAAACTTGATGAAAAAGGACTTTTAAGGTAATCATTCTTCAAAGATTCAAGCTGTTTTGCCTTAATGTCTTGGCAGTGAACGATAAACTTGTTTCGTAGGCCATCGAGCTGTCGTGAAACTTCAAGCGAATTGACATCAAGGAACCTGTGGAACCTAAAATTTGATACTGCAAATTCTACAGCTATGTTGGAATTTTCAGTACCGCTCTCTAAGTTTGCAACAGCTTGCACTAGCTCCTTTGCAAGGTCGTCTGCTTTTCCTCTTTTCAACGAAATTGGCGCCATCTTCAGTCTACGCCATTCCCTGCAGCCTCGAGTTCAACTTTTGCTTAAATTGGGGCTTCGCTTCTCCAATACCTGGAACACGCCCCCCCCCCCTGGAACTGGACATTTGTACCACTGATTTCTTTGTACCACACATTTGTACTGGTAAATCTTTGCTCATTAAAAAGAAGGTTTGCAAGTAGGGGTCAAAAGCAGGTTGAAGACTAAAGTGTGAATGAAGAAAAGGTCACTGTAGCAGGCTGCTCGACGGGCTCCAAGGAGTTCTTGCGGCGAAAAGTCGATAAAAATGTAGCAAATAAGAAACACCGCAATACGCCGAGAATAAACAACAATAAATACACGTAAATCAGTGAAGGCTAATATTTCGCCCCGGCATACGGGGCTACATCAGAGCAAAAGTTAACGGGCTACACGTAAATCAGTAAAGGCTGAATCACGTGAATCACGCACATTTTTCGCTGTTCGGAAATAATCCTGATTGTAGAAATAGACCTTTATTGATCTTAAGGCTGTCGTTAACTCATTCAGTTCAATGGTCCTGAATTTAAATTTATTACATTTTGGGTTGATAGCACCTTTAGAGTAAACAAATCCTCAAAAACCAAACTTTTCTAAAACCCAAAATTTAGTTGGGTTGACACTGCCTGTAGTAGCTATTGTAACACTCGTTGATCAGGTCTGGTTCCCAAACAAACAATCCAAACAATTTAAGTCTCAAAGAATTCTTTCAACAAATTTTGCACACCATAGATAAATCTTGAAAGGTGTTTTGCGGTTCTAAACTGCTCGCTAAGGAACCTCATGTTCAAAGCTTTTTTTAGATTACACTAAGACCGTCGGGGGTTCAAATGGCAGGTTTTGGTACGAAAATCACTGAGCCATCCTTCTCCCGCAAAAAGGTCGAAATTTGTATGCTACGCCCTTACTTGATTAAATGTTTCCCATCTAATTCTTTGAGTAACATGAAGATGAATATCTAGCATTCTGCTCAACTGACATCATTGTTAGAGAACTTTAGGAAAAGAGGGGTGCAGTTGCTCCTCGAACCCTCCATTGCTGCATGCATGCAGTCGCCCCATACACCAGGTGCAGAAACGGGAGCTCCTCCTCAGAACAAATCCCGTCTTTCACAAAGACTCTGGTACCCATGGTACCAAAATATATGCAAATATATTTTACATTACTGTAAGTTTATGTACTGTAAGTAAGTTTAAACAATCATGGACAACTTAGAATATTTATAAAGTTGTAAATAGCAAGGGGGCTCTTGCATAGAGTGTTGCAAAAAAATAGCAAAGTAGACATGTGCCAATTTTTGGCATTCACAAGGGGGCTCAACACCCCTGAGCCCTCAAAGCAATACAACCCTGATGCAATATCAAATATGTTCTATTCTATTCTATATACAGAATCTGGTCTCCTATCCTGGCATCCAAAGCGTCAAGTGGGACGTTGAGGAAAGAGGACATTGCGGGTCTCGAATCCAGGGTACTGGTCTCTACACCAGGAAAAATTCCTTCCTTCCACTAGTAGGTAATGTCCTTTACATTGATAATAATTACATTCTGCACAATATACGTAAATTTGTCATTCTAAAATCGAATATTAGCGATTGAAAATGGAAATTATAAAAATGGGCATTTTTTTAGATTTTTGAAATTGTAAATTATGATAAAAATTTAAAATAGTTCGGAGGCTTGCCCCCTGGTTTTGGTTTAATTAACTTCAAATAGGTTTAAAATCGGGGGGTCATAGATGCTATAAGACTGGTTCATTGATCATTGGCTTATTCGTAACATGATCTGATTGTTTAGTTGATCAGAAAATGGCGGCCGTGGAAGTGAAGAAGAGAGAATACAACGTACTTGCCGGGGAAACGCACAGAGTGGAGGGTAGGTCAGGAGGCATCGTAACAACGCAGCCGTCCGCCCAGTCTGGAATAGAGAGCTATGTGCTTGATTTGGATGCACAACAAGTCGCAAGTATGTTTTAAGAATCTATTTTTAAGGGAACGCCCATTTGGCTACTGCGTAGGAATGCTCGAGACGTTTTGTGTAGTTATTTTGAATCAGTCGCTCATCAAAGCCATTCTCCATTGAATGGCAGAATAATTTTTTAAAAAATCGTTGTAAAGTAGTGTCCTGTGTAGCGTTGTACTTTTTGTGACAGGGCCTAAGTAAATGAACCACTCCTTCTTTCTCTTGCAGAAATGTATCGTTTGTATATTTATTATCTTTGGTTGCGGTCAGAAAAGAACAAAAGAGCGAGCATTAGTTTCAGCAAAGACAATTAGTTTCTTGACAAGATATGCTTGTGAAACAAATCTTTTAAAAAAGCCTATTTTTATATCTTACAGCTTGGACTCCGGAAGATGTGATCAATAACTTTGTTGAAAAAGTTGGTCTTGGATACTTGAATGAAGCCTTTCTTGCAAACAAAATTACAGGAAGAGCTCTGATGTTACTCAATGAGGTTAGAGCTTTAACTCATTTCAGCTTGTGCCATGCTTTTGTGTACACCTATGGCATATATAATTATCTGCTTATTCTTTTTATGCTAGTCATGATGACAGCCCTGAGTAAGAGATATAACCTTTACAAATGCCACTCAAGACTAACTACAGAACATGCCAACATATTACAAAAGGTGCTACTACATTTAACTAACACTGTTTGTAATACGGCAGAACACACCATCATCACTTACATCGTCATTTTTCTGCCACCCAAATATTATTGATTAATAATTATTAACATTGCTCTCAATGTTTTTGTATCATTGTCTTTTATTATCTATTTTTAATACCACTGTAATTAGTATTATCATTACCGTTTTTCTATCAACTTTTTGTCACAAGAATCCCATTGGTTGGAGTCTGTCAAGCAGTTTTGTGACCTTTCCTTTATTTACACAGTCAACCTTTATGCTGTCAAGAGTTTTAGTTGGAAAAAATTTTTCGTATAGGGACATTTGAAGGAAATGGGTGTTCATGCCATTGGTGACAGAGTATATTTGTTAGATATGATTGGTTTGCTGAAGAAAAAGAAGAAAGAGCTTGAATCAACAGCAACATTATGGAGTGGTGAGACTCCTGCTCCAGGCATGGGTGAGTTGTATTAACTTGACAATAATATTCTAGCATATAAAAACAATTTGAATTATAAATTATCAGTAAACAAGAACATGTGTTTCAACAGGGTCATATTTTGGATAGATGTACCGAATAATTATGAATTAAGATTGAATGAAGGCTGGTTTCAGATATCATAATGCTGGTTTGTGTACACTCTTTGTTTGGTAATTATTTTTTTTGTGGCTGCCAAAAGTGCAATGTGGAAACTTAAATTCTTTAAAAGTGACTTGATTCTCCCATGCATAATGTTTGGTCATCAAAACGTTTATGAGCAGTCATTTGCTTCCTTTCTAGCCTATAGCAAAGGTCTCTGTCACTGTCTTGGAAAAACACTCTGCCCATGTTGTGTTGCACGTACCTACTGGAAGGTTACAGCTCAAGGTGTCTTCTACAGAGAGGTCCCAGTGCTCAGAAGGCATTTTGGTACAGGTATGGAATGATTTATGCATACAAAATTTTGTAGTGTCAGATAGATGATATAGTTGTGACAGTAATGAACAGTGAAAAGGTTGAGCCGTTTAGCTTTTACCCAAAATAAAGTTGCTGTCATTAACATGTACTTACCACAAGATCATATTTTTGTATTTTCTAAGCATATAGGTGAAGTGTTTGTGATGAACTTTAATGCAGAAATATTTATTTATAATTCATGGGTACAATTTGGTTTCAGTTTCCACCGAGTACATGGACTACAGGTTCTTTAAGGACCTTGAGCTTAAAGAAAGCTTTTTCTGCTGCTGTTTCTGCAAAAGACATGCTCTTGAAATGTATGTTGAAGACAAAGATGCAAAAGCCTCAGAGCGTGATGGTGGTGCCAGTGGTTTTCCTGTCCCACACATCTTGTTGCACCCAGATGCAGCTAAAGTGGAACAGATTGTACGCAATGCTTGGACACAAGCAAGACTTGTTGCTGATTAAGCACTTTGAGACAATTGTCTTCTTTATTTACATAAATCAATGAATTCCGCTTGCTTTAAATGGTGGACTGTATGAAAAATCTCAAGCATTACTCTAAAACTTGTAAGCTTTATAGGTGAAACCATTTACAATTTATAATTTGTGCTAAGAGGGTATTTCTATGATAATTTCATGGGTTAGATGTAGGACAAATTTTCAGACTTGATAACAAAGAGTGTGTTATCAGAGGCATTTCTGAAATGGATGTTATTTAATTTTTGGCATTTGCTACATTGTATTTTTAATTTTGGTATGTATTATTTCTTTGTGAAATTTGTGGAAATTGAAAATCAATTAATTTTGTTGCAAGATATTTGCTGTATTTCTTTGCCAGATATCTATTTGTGCATAGAGCCTTCTAAGAGCAGACTGCACAAATGAAGAACCAGAAATATAATAGATTTAGATAAGACCTGTCAACTCTTCCAGTTTTGCTGGGTGACTCTAGATTTTGCTTGTCTTCTGGTCCTCCTGTCTCCATTTTTTGACCTAATCTCTCTGGTTTTTGCAAGAAAAATCTGAAATCAACAGGTTTTGAATGTTTTAGGCCGACAGGTCTGTAAATACTCAAGCTATTAGCTTCATCGGCAGCATAACTGATCTAGATTTCAAATTATCTCCATAAACTATTTAGAGGTTGTGCTGCCTGAAAGAATAGAAAGTAAAATCTACATGCTCTAACGTTGGTAACTATGGTACACAAATCAAATGCAATGCCTCCAACATGGGGTCCAAGGTAGCCAGGGACAATCACAAATTAGACATGTGCCTAATATAAGACAAATCTGTCTTCTGGAACGTCAAAGACAACAATAAGACTTTGAACATGAATATCCTGATGTGCAATTTTTGGAGTTAACTTAGATTATCTGTAGTGTGGGGAGAAGGTAAGCTGAACAATTTCGCAAGTGGTTAGGCTGCCTCAAACAGCATGCCAGTAAAGCAATTTTGATTTGCCCTTCTCAGAGAACCAAACATTATTCAAAAATTTTTCCGACGTTATTTATAAATTGTGGAAGAAAATGAAATACACAAGTTCATCATTATAGTTTATGGCTCTTTTTATAAGAGTATTTTTCGTAAGAATGTTGAGGCTCAGAGTGATAAGATTTTTAAAAATATTATATAAGAGCATTGCTCATCCACAATTGCCTGTTTTGCAATGCTCATAACAGTAAAGAACACTTGAAGAATATATTCAGGCTCATAACGAAAATTTCTTAAGAATAATGAGGCTGGACAAATTTTCAGTATTCTTGTAAAAAAGCAAGTGCATTAAACAAAACAACAGTTTTCTACTACTGAAAGACAATCAAAATCACTTACATGTTATGATTCTGCCTTAGTGGGTTATCTTTGCTTATTCTGACATCTTTGTATTAGCATTGAAGGGTTGGTCTCTTAAACCAGCCTGTATTGAGGCGGAGGCAACCGACGCAACAGGGTGGCCAGTTTGATGTCGGAGAAAGGCTAAAATCGGCAATTAGTTAAAAAAATGACCAAAGGCAGGGCAGCATTGGTTATAAAAAAGTGTTGTTTTTCAGCATTATAAAGGGTGTGGGGATTGTTAGGCATTAGTTTTACTTTATTAAACTTTGGGTACAATTTTAAAGTCATCATTGTATTGCCTTCACCCTTTCACAAGACTTCGATAAATTATCTTTGGTATCAGTCTGTATTTAGCCTTAGCCCAAATTTTCAAAGCTGTGACTGTTCCTAAGGTGCATTTAATGCTTTCCTTGAGCGCAAGGAATATACCAGTCGTTTTATTGGCGGAGAATGATATTTTTTTAAAATTCAAAACACTTTCAATATTAAATAAAAGCCTTGCAGCCTTTCGCACCAAACAAGGTCGTCATAAAAAATTTGAAACCATTTTTGTATTGACTTTCTTTCAAACAATTTAAACGAAAATTTATAAGCTTTCAAGGAAAAAACAAAACTATGTGCGATTACTCGAAAAAAGGAAACTTGTTTAGTATGCTATTCAATTACGAAACATCCTAAACAAGAAATCAAGAAAATACGGATTATAAATCGCTTAAATTAACGAATTTAGTGGGTTCTCAGTAGCACTCGTTAGAGAAAACAGCTCCCGTTCAATAGAAACCGATTGTTTGACGGTTAAGCTTAACTATACTTTGAACTCATTATCTTAGAAAATACCTTAGCGATTGTGGTTCGCAAACAAATATTCTCTTTTCATATTTAGCATTCCCCTTCCTGAAAATTATTCTCTAAATAGTTTGAATACATTGAAGCATTGGAAAAAATCAGTGGTTTTGACGAGTCTTTCAAAATAACTTGGCCATCTAAATACCAAGACACCTTAAAACCTTTCCGTTCTATTGGAACAGGGTAATAAAACATTCCTTTTTCGACTAAACCTATACTTTCATATTAGGTTCAAAACTGTACTTTTTGGGAGCTCCTCTATAAATCAAATGCGATTTACTGTGAGATCACACAAGGTAGCATTCTCAGGCCATTTCTATTTATTCTATATAAAACACGTTTGTCGATTACCGATATTTCTTGATGTTACTAGTTATCTTCACGAATTTTCACAAACGTTTAAACATTTTCGTGTTAAGTAAGAGCGATTTTCTAACAAAAAAGTCGTGTCGAAAAATCTGATTACAAAATAAAGCTAGGTTATCTCAACTCTGTCCAAACTATAACGCTCTTTTCGTTATTTCTCTAAACGTTTTATACTGTAATGTTTTCACGCTGTATTGTTTAGCGATTTAAAATAAGAATTGAAGCATAAAAAGGGAAATAACACAGCCTCCATTAACCCACCCCATTATGTGAAGAATTGTGAAAATAACGATTTTATGTGTAAAGCCCAACATGTAATCTCTTTTGCAAATGAAACCAACAAATCATGACGAAGATTCCTACTTTTTGTCAACTATACATATTTCCGATATGAAATGAAAAATCAGGTCATGGAGACTCTGACAACCGCCAGTAAACCGCCAGTCAATTATTGTTTGGAAAATATCTTACAAAAAAACTATCCATTGAAGTTTAGTACTGAAAGTAAACATCGCATATTCGCCAACTTCATGGAGGCTTGGGAGCACAATATCTGACAGTTTTATTGCAGAAAAGCTTCTTGAAATAGAAGCAGTAAACAGAAAAGGTTATTTAGCGGTTCAAATTCTTTACCAAAAGGACCTGCTTGAAACGTTTACTTATTTTTATGCTAAAATCGAGAGATTTATGTTTTGCACAAATGAATTATGGACTCTTTTACAAAAACCTTCATTTCCAATTATAAGCCTTAGCCGGCAAAATTAAAAATTTGCGTCTACAAACTCCAGGGAACAAAAACTCACTACAGTGATAAAAACAAGATTCCAGTCTGTGTATGTATTAAAACACACAAGTGAAAATGGTGACATAAGATAGAACAGAAGCTGAAAGGTTGTATGAATTGTGGCGTTTGTAAACTAAAGGTACTTGAAAGTTCTTTGAGATACTTCAGCCATCTGTCAATCATAAATCAACTATTGACCAATCGCAGACGCCTGATTGGTACCACGCTTATTGATTGGCCAACGTGGATTAACAGACGGCTTAAGCCGTACAAGTATACGTTCGTGGCCTTTAAGAGACGTAGAACATCACTGGGGGGGTGGGGGGAGGGGCGAGGTAGAACTATAGCAATATAAACTTGATATGGGATAGTATGATTATGGACGAGGGCTTGAAATCAAACGCTGCCTAGTACTAGACTTACAAATAACAGGGATGATGGAAACTTCAGGTGACAGCCAAGAAATATCACAGCTACATCAATGAGCGCTGTGAGACGAATATCATAAAAGAATATTTACATCTGTATATAAGATAAAATAACTGTTATCTTCTTCATCGACAGTTCAAATATCTATAAATATTTAAAAAAGACCCATTTTTAAAAGCTCAAAGCAATTTACTATTTTTAGGGATACAGTTAAGGGAGGGGGTGGGTGCTGTTTCTGAGTACAAAGCACTAGAAAGAGTAGTATGTAACATATATAGGTTTCTGAGCAAGTTTTTTACAATAACCGCAATGACGAATTTGTTGAGGAGAAAGCGCTCCCATTAGTAAGAACTAAAATCATTACTAAAAGCGTAGATGAATTTGTGTACATAAAAGCAAAACAACAGGTCTAAATAATTCTACTCGTCCAAAACAGAGCATTAAAAGTCGCACTACCTATACTGGTAGCCACGACCCCTATCGCGCGAATTTGTTCGATGTCCCCTGTGCCCAGGTCCTTCCCAAGGTCGCTCGTAGTCTCTTTCGCGGTCATGATAGTTATTATAGTTTCCTTCGTCTTGATGTCGAGGTCGCCGATATACCCGATTATCGTTATCGTATTCATATGGTTGCCCAGCATGATGATCCCCTCGCCATTTATCATATCCCTGCTCATCACTTCCCCAGTTTCTGTATTCCCTAGAACGACCTTCTTCGTACGGATAGCCTTGCCACGATGAGTCTTGACCCTGTCGCCCGCCTTGCCATTGCCTGTGATAAGGATCATCCCCATGCCGCTCTTGGTAGCCTCCACTACGCGGCTCTCCAGCGCGGTATTGGTTGTAAGTACTCCCTGATTGGCTTTCCACGTGATCAGACTGCCATTGACCTACTGGTGGCCGATGGGTATCTGTATATGAGTCTAACGCGCCCTCTCGCACATGGTAATTATTATCACTGTTATCCGGCGCCATATATGGAAGCTGCTGTTGTGGGTGCGGCGGTCCTTGCTGCTGCATCGTTTGCTTGGTCTGGCGCGGATCCAACGTTTTCTGCGCCGTCGGACTCGTAACGTTACTGCTTGCACTCGAAGGACTAGTGAGGCTTGACTGCGAACGTGCGGAGGGGCTTTGAGTATTGGACGTACTCAAGTGAGGTTGAACCGGCTGATAACGCGGACTCGTGCCTAAGCGCGGATCTGCGAGATTGCTCGATGAAAAGCTACCTGCTCTCCGGTCCGTGATTTTGTCCGGTAATTTTATCGGCGGCAACTCCGGCATTTTCGATTCTGGCTTCTTCGTCATTTCCAACGGAAAAGGCAGCTAAAAAATGTTCAAGAATCCATCAAAGTATGCACAGAGAAATCCTTCAACAACTAATACAGGAAGGACAAAGAATAAAGCACGGAAAATGGAAGATACCGCTAGTTCCCCATGCCAATGTTTGCTACCTTCAGACATTCCATGGTTGCAAATGAAAGCCTTACTGCCACATGCCGTTTAAACATTCACTTAAAGCCTACCACACAACAGATTTTCGCCATTGAAAGGCGAACAGATTTGTCTTCGAAAAATCCGTACGCGGCAAATTTTTTTTATTCAACGAAAATCAAACATGTCTCCGTTAAAAACTGTCTAGGAACACAGAAAGTATCTCTAATTTTTTCTTTGAAAGGAGAAAAAATCTTCGTCGATTAAGGACAAAAATTTAACGTGCCACGTAAGCTCAAGTAATCAGAATAAATTTGAAGCGGGCCTGTGTCGAAAAATATACAAAAAAAGGAACATAAAATATCAGTCTGAGACCCAGACTATGTCCCTTAAAGGTATTCGCCATATAGACAAATTTGTGGAATAAGAAAATAGGTACACAAATAAAACCGACTAAAATTTACATAGCATTTAAAAAACATAAAAATAAAGTCCGAAATTGAATACGATAATGTGAAGTCCTTGAAAATAACAAAAATTTGCAACTGTTTTACTTTATAACAGTCAGTTTTACATGTTTCGTTTTAAACTCTTTTTTGTAAAAGTAAATTTATCTTATTTTAATATATTTCATCAGTGGCGTTGCCAGGGGGGGGGGACATAGGGTGGTACGGGACGCATGAAAATAGCAAAAAAGATAATTTGTCTTAGGACCACACTCTAAAAGCGTGAGGGACGTCCTTCTTAATCGCCAAAAATTATTTCTGTACCACACCGAAAAAATATTTTTTGGCTTCATCCCTGTATTTGATGCCAGAATACTCCATATATAAGGCAGTTTTACAACAATTTTGCATTAAGTTCTTGTATTGGCATTTTGTATTTGTATTAATTTTGTATTCACACACTTGACTGGAGTGACGATGATAAGATCATGTGCATCAAATACGGCCCATGGGGGACGAAATTTGTTTAGAATATGCTCTAGGGTTATCAATTGATACTCGTGACTTCGACGAAAATGGGGACATTATAATTTATTTATATTTTAATTTGATAACATTATTACTCTGAATTATCAAGAAGCCTCTATCAAGCCCCCTCTCTTTTAAGCTCCCCCTCTCTTTTAAGCCTCCCCCTCTCTTTTAAGCCTCCCCCTCTTTTAAGCCTCCCCTCTTTTAAGCCTCTCCCTCTTTTAAGCCCTCCCCCTCTTTTAAGCCTCCCCTCTTTTAAGCCTCCCCCTCTTTTAAGCCTCCCCTCTTTTAAGCCTCCCCTCTTTTAAGCCTCTCCCTCTTTTAAGCCTCCCTCTCTTTTAAGCCTCCCTCTCTTTTAAGCCCCGTGGTTTAATGAAGCTTTTACGGTATCGTACAAGATTTCACCTAAACAAAGGTATTTCTACAGTTTTTCTGACAAAAAATAGGATTTTTATCAAAGTGTGTATCAAGATGCTGTATCAGATTTACGAGTTAAGTTTTCAGAGTAGAGTCATATTGCGTTCACAGTCTCTATGATTTTCGCCACAGTGCAGCAGCGCAAACGAAATGGGAATGTCGTGCCGAAAATTTTAGGCTTCGTTTCTGCCTTCTACATTAAATTCATTACAAAGGAACGGGTATTTTACTTACAACAATGCATAAGCAAACACAATGTAGACACATGTCAAATGACAAACGATAATACTAATCACACTTTGCCACCTGCGCGTCCAAGCTCCAGTGGCACAGTCGGTTAGCGCGTCGTACTTATAAGTCAGTATTGACGAAGAAATGCGAAGGTCGAGAGTTCGAGCCTCTCCTGGAGCACTGTTTTTCCTCCAAATTTTTACGAAGGAGGCTCGTATAGCCTTGCCACTTTTTCGCTATTCTGTGGCCTTGCTGCCCCATACCAATGTATTCTAAATCAGAAACGTGAAGTTTTCATCTTTCATAGTTCTTTTCGTTCTTCAATCTATCATTGACAAGTTTCGTGAAACCTAAATTCTCAGAAGATCAATCGACAATCATCAGCGCCATGGAATTGAGGAAAGGCGGAAGTCAGAACTCCGTAACAGAAATCTGAAAAAAATCTTGAGGTCCCTTCCCTTTTATCAAAACAATAACTTTCATACAAACGTCACCTCTGAATGATCAGTGGTTTTAGCTGTAGTAACACGAATCTTTGGAAGAAATTTGACCATTCGTCAATGTTTAGATTTTATGCAGTTCTTTCTACAAAGGGGGGGCAACCACGTCCCTAAAAGGGGCAACCAACTGTTGATCATAAACCCCGACCGTGCATTAATGTAACTCAATATTTTCACGAATAAAATCATGATTTACTGAAAAATTTGAATCAGTTTTCCAAACGATGTAACCGCCTTAGGTAAACCCTTCTTTTATCAGAACAATCCTACAAAAACACGAGCCTTTTATAAAACAAATTAAGAATGGGTTTAGGCTGAGCCACTGTAAAATGCAATTTTGCAACTTGAAAATTTTTAATAAATTGAGATTTTGAAATAATGCAATTTGAAAAATTGTATGAAGCGTCCTTAAAAAATTTCATTTAAAAAGCAGGGAAAATTTGCCATCTAGGGAGTGCTTTTGAGGATGGTCAACTCACCTTATTGGCAAATGACACCAGAACACCTTTCTACAGCACAAAAGCTAGCGATTGCATTGCTTACACCCTAACAATTTAAGAACTAATAAAGAACAATCCAGCCTCAGATTTTCGAAAAAACTAAGAAAAGCCGGTTTGCAGTTTCGTTTACAGGTTCTTAAAAAAAGTGTAGTTACTTTTCGATGCGTCAATGAATCAAGAAATAATTTCTGGAAAAGGATATAAAACTTTATTTTGCAAAAATGGTGTTCTTCCGAACAAACGAATAAAATTAAGTAAAAAAGGGCAAATAGAGAGCAAGACCCCTTGTCAACGTTTCGACCACTAGTGAATACAGATCTCAGTATTACTGGCTTAGGTACTAACTTTAAAAGGGAACTCCCTTTTACTGACGAGATATTTTGGATACGGCTATCTCTACTGGTTTCTCTTTCATTCTATGAATTGTTTTGAAAATAATGATGCTACATTGTCTCTGTTTCCATTGCTTCTATTAAGTCAATTGGCTTCAGGGTGTCCCTACGGCAAGTTCCCGTTGAGTTGGAGATGGGAATAACACTGAGCTGGTTACGCTGGGACCATTTCTATGACCCGATTTGGCCACTCTGGTCACTCAACGGCGTGACCCAAGCATACCATTTTAAAGAAAAGGTCATTAGGAAATGTCAGGACTTCAGTATCAATGTTAACTTCTACCCTTGAGCAAGTTTTAAGCTGGCAACTACAAGTCGTTTCTACTGTATATACTTTTAGCTTTTTCTATGGCATTTCCAGTTCCTTTGTTAAAATTTTATGCCAGACTGTATGTTCGTCAAAATAGTCTCGCCTAAATGGGTAAATTTCCAGAATTAGTTGGTTCAAAATAGCGTACAATCGGGTTCGTTATTTTTCTGCTACAAGCTATAAAGCCTCATTTAGATTATCACTGATAAATTTATATGAAAGAAAAGGAAAAAGCAAACTTACATTTGGCTTGTCATCAATTTTCTTCAGCGAAGACGGCAGAGTAATGTCTTCAATCAGATCCAAAACAAAGTCATCTTCCGGATCATACGGCTCATCTCCAGGAGGCATTGCCTTGGCTTTCTTTTCATCTTTACTTTCCAATTCTATAGCAGTATCAAGGTCGTCTTCGGGGTCGTAAGGCTCGTCTCCATCGTTGGCCTTTTTGGTTTCATTCCCAGCTGGGGTATATGTAACATTGAGGTGTTGGTCTGGTCGTGTTGCAACCATTGATTCATTCGATCTAATTTCTGCATCTGGTGACCTTGTTTGTTTAATATTTTCTGGCAAAGAACCTGTCGAAGGAATGTCAATATTGCCACTTGATGTACTGGTTGTAGCAAAAGTTGCAGCAGATGAAAACCGAGAAGTTGTTGCATACTCGGACGAAGTTGACGGAAACCCAGTAGAGGTAGTCGTGTATCCAGTAGAGGCTGATGTATTTCCAGTAGGGGTTGGTGTGTACCCAGGAACGGTTGGTGGGTATCCAGCAGAGCTGGCTGTATACCCAGAAGAGTGTGGTTCATTGCCGATAGGAGTTGGTGTGTACCCAGTAACGCTTGGCTTACTTCCAACCGGGGTTGGCATGTAACCAGTAGAGGCTGCTGTACTCCCAACAGAGGCTGGCGTGTATCCAGTGGAGGCTGGAGTATATCTAGCAGAGGCGGTTGCCACCGTGCTTGCAGAATCTGAGGAGGACATACTGTATACTGGAGGTGACTGCAGACTTGCAGGTTGAGACGAAGGAATGGAATTAGAGGACGTTTCTAAGCCAGCTAAAATCGAAGTTGGTGTCGGTATTCCTAAGGCTTGGTTTCCAGAAATCTTACGTATCTGAAATGTAACAGAGAACAGGGTCGTTAGCATAAACTATTAATGGAATGGACATTCATCAACAAATGATGCCATTTGATCAACACTAGTAGGCTTCTAACGCAAATGAAAATGGGCATGGGATTTTTAATTTGCCAAAGACTTCGCGAGGCATGTGGACTATCGTCCAATTTTCTCATAAAATGCCAGTGGTGATAGCAATGTAAAAAGCCCGAAAGATGGAGCCCTTCCTTAGGCAGTGTCTTGATTACATGGATCAACTAGAGTTATTTGATCAAGATACTGTAGCCTGATCATGGTTAAAATCATGCAAATTTAGTTTTTCAATCATGCAAATTAGCTACATTACCATGCATAAAGATATGTAACTTCAACAAAATGCGAATTAACGTTGAAATGTACAAGCCACCAGGAGCTCTTACCTCAGCCTCCAGTTTCAAAAGCTCCTGTTTCTGTCTTTCCAGCTTATCTTCGATCTCTCTGTTTTCTCCAGTTTTAATTGTAGATGAGCTCGCTGTAGCTGACGAAAGGGCAGAGGAAGGAGTAGTAGACGGGGGTGACATGATGTCTGGTGTATACGAGGGGGTATATGAGCTTCCAGACTCCGACGGCGTCTCTTCCAAACTTTGCCCTGCTCGTTGCTTCCCGAACACTATGTCCTCATATTTGTCCTTTTTATGTTTGTGCCTTTTTTTCGATTTTTTAACAGCCACTTCAGTTGATTCGTGGTGACTCTGTTTCGGTCGCTTCATGGGCACTGCCTGCTTGCTGCGCACGATGATCCCTATGAGCATGTGAGGTCGAGGCTCTGGCATTCCTAAGTTCAAATCAAACGCGATAAAGATAAACTATACAAAACCTCAGAAGTACAAAGACGTTCAGTCTTAGACCAGACAATGCCATGGTGCAATAGAATATTCTCTTTCAGAATAACAACGCATATGTTGAAAGTGTGATGAATTTAAGAAACCTTTATTAAAAGAAACTTCGAAAATTAAAAAACTCCCTTTGCTGTTTTTGCACTCTCCAAGTTCATTAGTTCAAAAAGGCAGCTTGCAATGCATGCAATATTAATTTGCTATCAAAGCAATCAAATACAGCTGTTACTGCACAATTCAGAAATTCTATTACAAAAAAACGATTGCACGATACACAACGATGAGAATAGAGGTAATAGATTTTAGGTAAATGAATCTCAAAAACATCAAGTCATAACTACCTGGTCCATCGAACGGCTGTAGTTCAGGAGGCACGGGATCGTGGGAAGCTATTGGTACAACATACATGTCCTTGACACCAGAATGGCAATTTCCAATCACTCCAATTCTCTTCCTTGTGTAGAAATATGAATACAAAGCTACGTAGTCCTTCTTGTCGTCCTCAGCAGCCATTTCGAAACGCAGTACATCTATGGTCTGAAAGGAGCTTACTATCAACAAAAGCAGCATAAAAACCGGACCAACTTTATCAGAATTGAGCATGGGCGTATTTGACTAGCAGAATCGTCTGATTCATACCATATTCGCTACAATCGTTGTTTGATCTTATATTGATTGAGCCTATTGAGGAATCAAAACACGACAACTCTAGAGTTGGAGAATAACTACAGCTCTACAAAGGTTGGGATATCTACCCAAAAAAGTTGACAATCAATCAAATTTTTCCACTTCCGGCCATTATCTACAGTTCATAGTTTCTACTATGCTACTGCTTAAGCAGCACCAACACTTTTAAGAGAGTTAGCAGTTACTTGAGGAGGTCGCTAAGAGCAGCATGGTCGTATTTAGAAGTGAAGCACGATTTTAGTACAACCATCATTAGCAAGAGCTATACCTTGATTGAAAATACCCAATCAGTAAATGAGTGCTCTGCTATGCGTAAAACTTAGAGTTGAGTGATTTGGTCAATGAGCCCGAAAATTTGGTGATTAGATCAACGAGCTTGGATCTGTCGTAAATCTTGATCCAATTTAAGATTAGATCAGAAGAAGATTCAAAGAAATAGGTAACAAGCTCAGAAGCTTCCATATTTTCTGCCCAACTGCCAGAAATAAATATTCGTAGAGTAGCATGTTCCTTTAATACCATTCATGTTCAGCACTGTGTTCATTTGATAAAAGTACAACGAAGAGAAAGCGTTCAGTGGTTCTTAAGGGCAGTGGTGGAAAAGCGCGCACGCGAGCATCGCTTGCAGGAATTCTGGCATGATGCTACATCAGATTCTAAGCATTGATCATAAAAGTTTGAACATACAAGTTTGCACGAAGAGCTGTCAAATTCGTTTTCTATCTCTGTTAGTAAAGTTCCCGAATTTTAGAATCAAAGTTTAAATATATTCATTCATAAGCTTTTAGGAAAGTTTGGTTTATTTTCTCGGCTTGAAAATCGAAACTGTGTATAGGCTGCATGATTTTGAAGAAATAAGGCTGGCAGAACAAAGACAATATGCAGAAACAGCTTTTCAGCAAGATAAAGTTTGTGTGGACCTTGGCAAGCTGCCAGAAAACTTTTTAGCGATGCAAAGCCAAACTGTTGCATGTTCACTGAGTCGGTGCTCTTACATAGATTAAAAAAGCATATAAATTTAGTTTAACCAAGTTCAGAATACCAAATCAGAGTACAAAAATATTGGAAAAGAGTGAAAAAATGTAAAGCTGGGGAAAACTGGATGCAATAAAGCAGAATGGCTGAATGAAGACACGAGCTGCCACTTCAAACAATGATAATAATCATTACTTAAGTCGTAGAGCAAAAGATATGGTTTGCTTTCACTATGATCGAACCATGAAATGACTCTGATGGCAATCAATTAGTATTTGATGATATCACTACAAACAGCAGAATAGCTCTCAACAAATCGACATTTTCAAGATTCACTCAACATCCCTTATTTCAGGATTACGACTTCGTTACAAAGAAAAGTGAAAACTAGAGCTGTTTTATAGAAAGAAAGGGGAGAAGAGAAAGCTCTTGTAAGGCAATCAAGCTTAACTTGTCTTATATGTGTTGTCACGCGAAATGTAAAATGGATATAGTACCGAATCTGCAGGCATTCACGGGAATGAATAATTGAATGGAAAAAAGGATGATGTCGTTGCTGAAATGTATTTGCATCTCAAGCCAAAGCTATAGATACGGAGTGGTAAATGAGAAGGAAGCTTCAATGTTGCAATCAGTGCAAAAGAAGCTAACAAAATGTAATCACAATCTTATTGTTTAACAAGACACAATCACAAGTAAGCGTTTGAAACTTTAGTTGTGATCGGAGTCTCAACGTTGGAACCTATTAGTGTACTAGCAAAATAAAAAGAAGTGTGTAGAGGAAATTCAGACTCTTTAGCATGGTCACAGGAAGAAAACAACTTTTCAACACCTTATAAAGGAGAGGAGATGATTCTAAAGACATGATAACATTTTGCAAAAAGGAGCGACTCCAGCTTCTTTTAGTCCTTGCTAAGAATACGCAATGACAACAATGCAAGGTCAAATTAAATTAGAGATGAAGTCAAGAGACATTTAATTGTTAAATGCAAAATAAATGGCCTACCTTATGCGTGGTACTTTTCAGTTGAAATAAGTAATCCCAAACTTGCTCATGTTTTATTCTGCCGTAAATTTGAAGCGTGTCTGGTAATAATTTCAACAAATTGTCGCATGGCCCGGAGATACGATAGGCGTTTGATGCAAATTTAGCCACGCTTGGCATCACGACAAATCCTTTCCACATCGGATCCGACTTTTCTTTTGAAGGCAACGGAATGTGAATTGGTGATCGATTCATACTTTCTATCAGGTCGGGTGAGCTAAAATGAGGAGCAGGACAGACGATCAACAGACAGAAAACAATAATACAATGATCAGTTTTAACGCTTCTAAATTTAAAATTATAGGTATTGAGATCAATTGGAGCAGCAATATCAAATGACTGCTGAAATAGACATATTTCATTAAAGAAAATGTGATGTTCGTCAGGAATACTCGGTTGGTCATGACGTCAGGCTGACATTTGAAAACGAGACGGTGAGGTTGTTTGAACGATTACACAAACACTACGATTGTTCTTTCGGACAAAATCTAGGCCCTGACAAATTGCTCAGAGGCTGCAAATCAAATAAGTTAGATAAAGAGCCTTTATTTCTAGACAGATGTTGTTTTTGTAAGCCTCCAACACATTAGCTAACTAACTGCTGACCAATGGTCATACATGTCAGGGTGTAAACAGCTAATAGTAACAGGGACATGGAAAATACTCGGTGACATAATTAATGACTGAGGACGTTGACACAAATCAGGGGGGTTTTACTTACTTTTGTCTGAGGTCATTTTCATCCGGGGAATCGGTGGGTGACGGCATTGAGCTTTCTGGAATTGCTTGTATGCTAAAAAAGATCAATTTTTTGAAAAAACAATATCAACCAAAATAACTCATTGCCTGAATTTTTCAACATTAAACAATAAAATAAGGTTAAACTAGGCTATTTTTCAAGTAAACACGCTATAATTTGGCGAGATCATTCAGTATTTTGCTTCATTTAAAGAAAATTGCTTTTGTTGTCTGATAAATCACGACGCACGTCTGCTTTTTTTCTGCTTTTTAAGTATGATGACATTATGAATACAAAAATAATTTAATGAATTGATAATTGTTTTTCGATTGACACTTCTGCAACAAAAGCAAAAAAACATCTTTTGTCGTTTATATCTAAAATAAGTTATACTCAGTTGATTCTAAGATAGGTTTCGGACCAGGCTAGATGGCCAAAATATCAAGACCTTACAAGTAACAATGACAATTGCTTATCGAATTAATCACAGCGCTTTGCATCAACGCAAATAAAATCTGGCAGTAGTAAGAATCAAGAGAGCTGCAATTTCTACTTACACACTGGTTGAAACATGTGGCAAAATGGGATGCTTTTCGCCTGCAGGTTGTTGCTTTCCTGTGCAAATCTTGCAATTCAAGTCAAACAAATGTGTGCTGTGTTGTTCTGTTGTATCTTCGAAGGCCATTGGAGCACCATCCTCTTCCATGGCGGCATCCTTCTGCTCCTCTGCAGTCTCGATGTGCGTCTGAAGATTATGCATATCTTCTTCTCCCTCGTTCTCCAACTCAACCTCACCCTGCGAATTGCAAAATTAAGAACTTTAAAGAAATGAAAGTAGATAATGGCTTTGAAAAAAGCAAACATTTAGTAAACTAAAGCTTTCCATCTGACACTCTTCAGAGTTTAAAACGTCAGAACATAGACCGAAAACTCTACGCTAGGAAATATATATGGATCGAAATAGGCCAATCAGAAACACGAGCACATGACTGTTGAGGTTGACCAATCAGTGCCGCTTGCCTATTGAAAGTAGATAACAAATAATGATGGTGATTGGGCGAAATTCCCTTGAATAAAGGTTTGAATAAAGGTTTGAATAAAGGTTTGAGCGAATGTCAATAATAAAAAAGCTTTCAAAATGGCACTCACACTACCTTTATCTAAATTTGCTTCCAAAAATTTGACACACATTAAAATTTTAAGTTCCACGTGTCTTTACGCCATTAAGACATTCAGTTATGAAACCCAAAGTTTCTACTTGAGGTGCGAGGATGGCTCAGTTGTTAGAGGCGCTGACTACAGACCCAAGGGTCCGTGTTTCGAGTCCCTGGCATGACCAAACTTTCACCCAGAGTGGGGAGAGTCGCCAGCTCTCTGTAATTCCAGGCGTAGGAATCACGAGGTGTGATCACATCGAGAGGAAAGACCAGGACACTGCTCGATAAGCATAGCTTTTCAGTGTTCTAGAAACTACCTTCGGATGCTAGGTAGCAACAAATACAAATACAAATACTTTCCTTAGAGCTGAGATCCACCTTCTGTTATCACTAGTTCCTATATTTACAATTCCTTTGCAGGTTAATCAGAAAGGCATTTAAGAAGCAAATGATCAGGGTATGTTAAAGTGACTTAAATCGTAGCTCATTCTGAAAACAAATTGTAGTGAATTAAACAAATACCTTGTGGGTTTTCTTCACGGCATGTTTAAGAGCCAGGGCATCTTCTTCCTCTCGTTTTTTTATCATTTCAATATTCTAGGAAAATGACACTTCATATAGACGAAAAAAAATACCTGGAATCTTTGTCATAAATGTTAGCGATGCAATTTGCAAAAAATTAAAAAAACATTAAGAAAATATCAGGCTTTTGAAAAAGAAATGAACAAAATCAAAGAAAAAGTGATTAAGTGATGTTTAACAAATTTATCAAGTCTATGAGTGAAACATCTATAGAAATAGTTTCAGAACCAAGTTGTCAAATGCAGAAACCAATGATTTGGCCATGGGTACATTAATGTGTTTCCGCACTTTAACTCGGGGAGAACTTACATAAAAAAATTAATAAAAATTTTAAAACAAGTTTTTGAAAAATGAACATACATGCTTAGCCTCTCTTTCCCGCCATTTAGCCAACTCCGCAGAGGCCAGTTGCTCAGGTGACATGTGAACCAACTTCGCAGGTGGCAGTTCGCCTTGTACAACTTGCTTGTATAAACTCTAAATAAAGATTATTTAGATCAGAAAAACGATTTTCAAGATAGCGTCGTTCTCAGAAAGTTCCAAAACGCAATATATTTTTCTTAAGGCCAATAATCAATTCAATTGTTTTGCCTGACTTCCGAATTCAATCTAATCTAAGTTACCTTACCTCGACGTTTTAATTATCATACCACATAGAACAATAGATTTAAAACCATTTCACTTCAATACTCATACATTAACAGTAGCCAAAGACAATTGTTGGTTGAAATCTATTTCTTGGCAATATGAATATCCTAAGATTTGAATATCTATACATATTTCCAGAATAACAACTTCTAAAGTATTCTGATCGGAGTTTGGAGAACAAAACAATATCGGAGTTGTGAGAAGAAAAGAACCCGAAACAGACCCTCATCAAACTCTTTTTTTCCTAAAAATTACATAAATAGGTGTCATTTTATATCTGCTTCTAATAAAATCATATTCACTATCAGAATCCTGTCCTTTCACTTATGAAGAAATTATCTTGATCAAATTCCTACCCGATTTTTGGGATCTTTCAAATTGAAAATCAGGCTCCTGTACTTGGTTTTGTACTTCTGCCCAGTATCTCCATACATCTTGACGATCTCCTCTTCGATTGCAGAACAAATTTTCGTAACTTCGTCAACATTCACATCCATTTCAACTTCAAGACACCTAGATAATAACAAATAAATTGCAATAAAGGCTAAATTTGCCATCAATGCTTACATTTTAAATGATGACTATAAATAAATGATCGGTTTACGAATAAATGACATAATTTTACCTTTATTTGCTTGTGGGTGTCAAAAATTTAACAAGAGTTATCATTGAGTTACAGAAAGCTTTTCAATTTTACGCCAAGGAAATGTTTCCTTTGAGGAACTTTATCAAAAATAGTAAAAGGCATTTTTGTTAAGAAATTCAAATAGATCTTTTTCAATTTAAACCCCGAACAACCGATTTAGGTTTCTATAAATATATAACTAAAATAGAATAACTTTCTTAAGCGAAAGAAAAAATAAATGCCTGAGGCTAGATATTAAGACGCCTCGAAATAAAATTACCCAATGACCTTCTACATGGTCTGCCGTTACATTGACTTACAAGTCGAGAATGAAAAGGTACCTTGTAAGTATTGTCTCTTTCAGTGACTTTTTAACATTGTTTCGAACAACTTCTGTCAAATCCTTCTTATCCTTTTGATTGGAGCTTCCAGAATTAGCTGAAAAAGAGAAGTAAAATACAGAATACGAAGACAGAATACTGGAAATCGCGAATCGATAAAGCCAGATCTTAAGGAAAAAACGGTCAGCAGGCGCAACTGAAAAACGCTTTTAAAGTAGCTTGTTCGGGAATAGCAAGCATCGAAAGCAATTTTGAACTCATGTTTGAACTGGCCTAAACGAAATTTCAAAACAGAATGTTACCAGTAGATTCGGATTTTCGGCTTGAGTAGAAAGAGGGCGACATTAGCCCTCCGGCTTTGGTTGCCGCTGCACGAAAAGAAATGGATGAGAGTATTCAACACTCAGCATAACGTACAAAGACGACGGGGGTTTACAGAAATCTGGATGAGAAGCAGGGGTTGGAGTCAAGCTATTATATTCAATCATTAAATCTTATATTAAGGAGGATAAGCAAAACGCAAAAAGTTCTATTTAAGTGGGATGAGTTACAATCAATATCAAGTGGGTTTACTAATCCTTGAAAATCTGTAATACAGTAATTCTTAAAGCATGGGTAAGTCAGACCGAAGAGAGGCTGAAATAAAATGATCGGAGAGATTCGGTACTTAATAGAGAAAAAAGGGGGTATTGCTAACCTGGTCTAAAGACTTCGAAGGTGGGATGCTCCTCAACCCATTTGAAGATATTGGCCCTAGTTGGTGCCATAAGCCCCGCAATGACCTTCTTTGTCGACTTCTCAATGACCGGTATTCTTTCGTTCTTGTCATCGTCATCTGTTGTTGATGTAGCCGGGCTGATTGTAGGGCCTTTGCCGGGCTGAAGGGACAAGATGAATATATTTGTAATACTATGAAAAAACAGTTCATCGGTCTATTGCAGAGTGCTCGATGCCGTATGGAGCAGAAAAAAGATGCTCTTATAATGGTTTATAACTTACTGACAAGCGACAATGGAAATAATAGACAAAATAATTATTAGCAGTAGGGTAAAAAAATAATGGCAATGGGGATGAAAATGGTTGGAAAAATCAATTTTTTGGAAAAAAATTCAAGTGCAAAATTGCAGTATAGAACCTGTTGCAAAAAGTGGATACCAATACATCTGGAAAAGGCAATTTTAAGGAAACGTCAAAAGAACTCAAATGTGAAGACAGGAAATGTTGCTATATTCAGCCTTTCGTTTGCACATTCCTGGCCAGGGCTGCTGTGGCAAACGCAGAAATACATGCAAGGTATCACGAATATAGAGTTTAACAGCCCCCTTTAACCGCAAAAATTGTAGCATATGCAATTAAATACATATACATATACACAAAATTAAACCGGGGGAGGGGACGCTGTCTATTAAGAATCGCAAGAAGGTAAAAATGTATACGCAGCATACCTCTTTTGATGAAGGGCTTTTCACTTCCGGAGATTTCGGTCCAAGTCGTTTCTGCTTGTCTTCAGACAGAAGGCGAAGTGACTCTTTCGTGTAACTGTTGGGAAGACAGCACGATTGTTGGTAAAATATAGAAGGAATGACCCAGATATCACTGTGCTTTTCGTTAAGACGTTGTCCGGCTAGGATTTATGGTTTCTTGAGTGAGTTTCAGAAATAAAGAAAAATTGCCTTTTATCGTTATTATCACCTAGATTGGCCCGGAATTACAATTTAATTGGAAGAAAAGAGAGCAAGATCTTCGGATGATTACCAAAACATAAAGAGCACAACTTCGAGACTAAGTAACAGGCCCTTTTATGAGTAAGGATTGCTTCAAAAAGGAGAAAAATCAAATATTATATATAACACCTTGAGTCGAAATAAATCAAAGATATTTTGAAATGACAAGCTGGAATTAAATTCATGAAGTTGATTTTATATCAAGCTGCATTTTGGTACAAACTGTAAACTGTATAAAACCTTAAGGAAATCTGATTAAATTCTAGCATTATATTTCGTCTTGAATGGCGTCAAGTTTAAAACCCGATCAAGTGATTACTTGTTCCTTTAATATAATTTTTATTCTACTTATACAATATCAACAGAACATATATCTGACGCACAAGCTTCAAGCTTCGCGTGACTGTTCAAAAAGTGAAACTCGATAAAGATATATTAATAATCAAAAAAATTATTCAATATTGATGTGATGTAAATAATGAACAAATCGAAATGGAAACCAAACAAGTCCATAACAAGCACGAAAACGAAAATCTCACAAATGCGTAAACTTCAAACACAAATGTTTCTGTGCTTCCGAACTCTTTTAGGCTAATTTCAATCAAACAAATTATTATGTTTGAAAACAACCAATATAAATTTATGTGCCAGGGCTTCTCCTGACACAAATGCACCGGGCAAATCAAACAAAATGTGGTTATGTTTTCAAAAATAATGCAATGATTATCAGCCGGGCACAACGACCTAGACTCCGTGAATCTAAAATGGATTGGCAAGTCTTAATCTCATTACCGTAACTAGGCCAAGACTTCATCTCGTTAGAGTAAATTAATTCCAAAATAATATCAGCTTCTTATATTCATAAGCTTTTCCTGATTCGAAGATCACATATTTTCTAATTATGGTCATGCCCAAGCCAGTCTATTCTTGTATGCGATTCAAAAAGGTCAATTAGTGAAATGAAGTATAAAAAATACTTAAGCACTGGAACTACATTTTTGATAATTTTAGCAAATAATCCAAGGATAATTCACTGTTTTCCAAAGATCATCCCTAGTTTTTAAAATGCGGTACATTTAAAGCTTACAAAGCAGATGGCTACAAATTAAATCCGACACACTAATTTTCCCACACAAATTTCTGACCTTTGCTTCAAGAAAAAAGAGAATTCCAAACTCAACACAATTGACCCTAAAACTCATAATAATGATGTATGCAATCTTAATTTCAACATAATCTAAATTATGCTTGGAAAACTTCAGAAATGTCCCTCTTAAAGGAGAACTGACACGCAAAAATAAGTTGGGCTAAAACGGTAGTTTGTGACAAGCAAATTCTGGGATCGAAAATATTTTTTAAATCACAGTTACCGTTTTTGAAATACAGGCGTTTTAAGTTGAGAAACGACAATTGTTCCGACAACTTGAGACTCGAGGCGAAAATCGTCACGAGTGGGCGATCATCTTTGACGTCACAAGTGA